AAAATGAAGCAATATATGTAGAACACCAAATATAGTGCCTAACAAATATTAGGAACTCAAGTATTTTCATTCATTCAAATATACCTAATATTCAGAAATATACTTTATACATATATATAAAAATAATAGGTATGATAGACAGCATATGTGATTTATTTTTATTGAGGCGAAATTCATATAACATAAAATTTTAGCCTGTACACTCCACTGGCATTTAGCACATACACATTGTTGTGTAACCATACCCTCTACGTAGTTTTAAAAAGTGATTATTTTTAAAAGCTTTACTAATATGTTCCTTCAAACTGATGCCCTTGAATGATAAAGTAAGATTCAATTACCACACATTACACTCATACACTGAAAGATAATTTAATATACTGAAGAGAAGCAAGTGTGTCCTTCCTAGGATGCAATACCATGAGAATAACTAAAACACCTAAGGCAATGGTTCAAAGTACAGATGAAGGACAGTTGCTGGCGCTGAATATTTTGTTGTCAGTCACAAGATAATAAAAGAGTATTCAAAAACATATATAACAATCTGATATAACTTTGAGAGAACAAGTACATATTCAGAGGATCTTTTTTTAAAATCCTCACCCAAGGATATATATTTGACTGAGAGAGAGAGAGGGGAACATTGCTGTGAGAGAGGGACATCAATAATAGGTTGCCTCCCGTACACACCTTGACTGGGGACCAAACCCACACCCTAGCTATGTTTTCCTGACTGGGGATTGAACCCGCAACCTTATGGTATATGGCAGGGGCCCCCACCCCCCAGGCTGTGGACCACGACTGGTCAGCAGCCTGTTAGGAACCCACTTCAAGCAAAGCTGGCCTGAGCTCCACCTCTTGTCTCTCCCACCATCCACAGCGAGGTTAGAGTAAGGCTCATCTGAGCCCTGCCCCTACATCCTATTTCCCAAACCGAACCCCCACCCCTGTCTTCCATGAAACTGGTCCATGGTGACAAAAAGGCTGGGGACCACTGGTGCCAGGGCTCAGAGGACCATTTTCTTCTTTTTTTTAAAAAATGAAAACAAAAAACATTGGTCCATGACAGATTATAAAGGTTTAAAAAAACCAGAAACTGGTCTTTCAATATAGTTAGTCTGAAAAAGCAGTGAACTAATATAAATAAGCACTTTGACCCTACTGATGATGATTTAAAGAATTTTAAAAGTAGAAGAAACCTTGGAGAAAATCCTAAGAAGATGGAGGGAGTAGAAAGTACCAGGAACCTAAACAACTGTACTGGCAGAATCTGTCTGACACAATTATTTTGGAACTCTGGAGGCTATAAAGGCTGGCAAATTCCAGCCAACTGGAAGACTTGCATGGTAAACTGAGGTTAATTTCAGTCAATTTCAACTCTTACACAATAACAACTATTCATCTCCCTTCCCCCAAGATAGACAGCTGTGCATATGTTCCAGGAAAGAACCCTATACTTCATTTATCAGGTATATGTTCATTGATTGTTGCTTGTGATCACAGAGGTGCAAAACAAAAATGTATGAAGCCATTGTTCCTACAGGAAGGAAACCCCATTGTTGCAAGCCCCTGTCCTCTACCTGAAGTGACTTTCAGGGAGATTTTAAGGGCCAGTACCCATTCCTTAACCCCTTTATTTTTTGTTTCTCATTTCTGGGGATCCAGACATTAAAAAACAACTGCATATATGGGAATATTAGAAAGTGACCACACAAGTTCAGGAAAAGGCTGAGGAAGACCTTAAGCATGTATTTAAGGATGACTTCGGCAAGAAATAGCCCACGACAGTAAAAAAACTAAAACAATAACAAAAACCATTAAACCCCAGTTAAAGTAGAGAATCTCAATTACAGAACTACCACAGTATTAGATTCATATGTCTAGTTTGTTTTTTTTAAATCACAATGCAAACAAACAGAAAAGTATAGGTCATTTAAAGGAAAAAAAAACAGAAACCGTTCCTGAAATATACCTAATGGCAAATATTCTAGAAAAAAACTCATAAATTGACTGGCTCACAGATAAAGAACTAAAGGAAGATGTAGAGAAAGTAAAAAAATATAAAAAAATAGATGAAAATATCAATAGAAATAGAAAATCTGAAAAGAAACCAAAGACAAATTCTGCAACTGAAATTTCACTATAGGTATGCAAAAGTAGATTTGAACTGGTAAAAGAAAGGGTTAGCAAACTTGAAGATAATGGATAGTCTAGAGTTTGAGGAAAAGAAAAGAATCAGAGAAAAGTGAACAGAGCCCTAAGTGATCTTTTGGGACATCAGAGAGTAGACCTACATATACATTGTGGGAGCCCCAGGAGAAGAGAGAGAGAAAAGGGCAGAGAGAGTATTTGGCCAAAAACTTCCCATTTTGATGAAAGACATAAATATAAATATCCAAGATGCTCAAAGAATTCCAAATAAGATGACCTAAAAACAACACACACCAAGACACATTGCTGAACTTTCAGAAGAGAGAATACTGAGAGTAGCAAGAGATTAGAAAAATCATCATATATAAGAGATCCTCAATAAGATGATTAGATTTCTCATCAGGAAATTTAGAGGCCAGAAGCAGTGGGGCCAATGTATTCAAAGTGCTAACCGCCCCTCCCAACCCTGTCAACCAAGAATCCTATACCCAACAAAACTGTTTTTCAAAAGTGAGGGAGAGGTTCCAGCCAAGATGGAGGTGTAGGTATAAACCTTTTGTTTCTTCACACAACCAAAAGGAGGATAACAACCAATCTAAAATCAATAAACAACCAAAATCACCACAAAATCAAACTGCATGGAACTCCAACAACCACCAAGGAATTAAAGAAAAAAATTAACCAGAACAACCAGACCAGTAAGGCGAACCGTGAGGACAGACTCAAAAAAACCATCGGTAAGGTGGCCAGGGGGTGGGGCTGATTGCTGAGATCGGCAGAGCTTCGTGACAGGGACTGACTTAAGGGGAAAACTGAGACTCAGAGCTAACTCTGGGCTAAGGCTGGGATTGCCCTGGTGAGAGATACTTCCAGACTGACATGAGAGTTTGTTGGAAAGTGTGCCAGAGATGAGCAGGCAAGCTGCATTGTTACCTCTCTGGTCCCTTCCACACAGGCAGCGCAGCAAAGAGGGCTACCCTGCCTGGGTGAATACCTAAGGCCCTGTCCCCTTACAATCTATCAGCTGCACCAAGACAAAGAAACATGGCTCAAATGAAAGAACACAGCATAACCTCAGAAAGAGAACTAAGTGATGAGGAGATCACCAACCTATCTGATGGAGAATTTAAAGCCCTGGTAATCAAAATGCTCACAGAACTGATTGAGCTTGGTCAAAAAATGAAAGAACGAATGAAGGATACCCAAAGTGAAATAAAGCAAAATATTCAGGGAACCAACAGTGACAAGAAAAAAAAACAGGATTCAAAGAAACAATTTGGAACAAAAGGAAGAAATAAACATCCAACTGGATCAGAACGAAGAAACAAGAATCCAAAAAAAATGAAGACAGGCCGAGGATTCTCTGGGACAACCTGAAACATTCCAATCTCCAAATTATTGGGGTGCCAGAAGGAGAACAGCAGCAAGAAATTGAAAACTTATTTGAACAAATAATGAAGGAAAATATCCCCAATCTGGCAAAGGAAATAAGACTTCTGGGAAGTCCAAGAAGCCCAGAGAGTCCCAAAGAAGTTGGACCCAAGGAGGAACACACCAAAGCACATCATCATTAAGTTACCCAAGATTAAAGACAAAGAGAAAGTCCTAAAAGCAGCAAGAGGTAAGGTGACAGGTACCTACAAAGGAGTTCTCATAAGGCTATCAGCTGACTTCTCAAAAGAAACCTTACAGGCAAGAAGGAGCTGGAAAGAAGTATTTGAAATCATGAAAAGCAAAGAACTACATTCAAGATTACTCTATCCAGCAAAGCTTTCATTCAGAATGGAAGGGCAGATAAAGTGTTTTTCAGATAAGGTCAAGTTAAAGAAGTTCATCATCACCAAGCCCTTATTACATGAAATGTTAAAGGGATTTATCTAAGAAAAAGAGTATCAAAAATACGAACAATAAGATGACAACAAACTCACAACTATCAACAAATGAACCTAAAAGAAAAAAATCAAAACAAAAACTAAGCAAACAACCAGAATAGGAACAAAACCAGAGAAAAGGACATCATACAGAGGGAGTTCAGTGGGGAGGCGGAAGGGAGGAATAGGGGGGAAAAGGTATAGAAAAGAAGTATACATAATTAGTAGGCATAAAATAGATGGGGAGATAAAAATGCTATAGGAAATAGAGGGCTCAAAGAACTTGTATGTACAACACATGGACATGAACTAACAGGCAGGGGGGAATGCTGGAGGGTTGGGGGTACAGAGTGGAGGGGGGATAAAGAGGAAAAATTGGGAAAACTGTAATAGCATAATCAATAAAAATACTTTTAAAAAGTGAGGGAGAAATTAAGACATTCATGGACAAACAAAAGCTCAGGGAGTGCATTACCACTAGCTCTGGGAAAGAAGTGCTCGACGGAGTCCTGCAAGGTAATATAAAAATACAGTAGACAGTACCAAAAGCCACATGGGGAAATAAAGATCTCAATAAAGGTAAATACAGAAGCAATTGTAAATGCTAGTATTATTTTAACAATGGTTTGCAAATGTACTTTCTGTTTTCTACATTATTTGAAAGATGTTAAAAAGTACTGATTAATTGGCTTTGATAATTTTGAAGGCATACACACACACACACACACACACACACACACACACACACACACACGCCTATCACAATAGCCTTTCCCCAAACCATTTCACAAAGCTTACAAACAGGTAAAACACATATATTCTCCAAAAACTTCCTAGAAAAATACTAAGAGATACTACTATCTTCTAATTTAACCCTAAATTACTTTTCTCTAGCTGAGCAGGCAAGGCAAACATCATCAAGGCTGATTCACTTTGTAACAAAGTATGCATAACAATAAGAAATGACTTGAGAAATACCTGAAGTAGAAGCAGCCATCTTCCTTGTCATTATCTTTTATTTTATTACAACTAAATGTTTCTGCCTGGAAAGGGAAGTAGGAGAGAAGTGGGGGGAAAAGAAATCACAAACATTTAACATAGTATATTTAGGATGGTAAGTTGTATTACCTTTACCAAATGTGAATGCAAATCACATCTGGATTTATAAACACACAGGCACATACCTATATGTATATGTCTTTACAATGTATGTAAGATACAATGAGATTAGTCACAGTGGAGACACATACCATTATTAAAGGGTATATAATAGATCTTTATGGTGGTGATACAATTTAAGGTAATAGTTGCTTGATGGGACTGATGGCATAAATTAAGAAAGCTAATTTCCTAAAGAGATAATTAAAATGAACCATGAATCCTTAAAGGCATTGTTAAATTAAAACCTTGTGATATAGTTTAAGGTTTAGTTTCCAATTTGAGATTTATTTTAAATTTGCACTGTCAAGTATGGTAGTCAATAGCTACATCTGGCTACTGAGCAGTTGAAATATGCTGGTCCATACTGAGATGTGGTATAGACATAAAACACATACCAAATTTCAAGACTTGGTAATAAGATTTAAAAAAATGTAAAATCTCAAAATAAGTTTTAAAATATTTAGTTCAGCCTTGGCTGGTGTGGCTGAGTTGGTTGGAGCATCGTCCCATAAACTGAAAGGTTGTGGGTTAGATTCTCCATGAGGGTACATATGAGAGGCAACCAATACATTTTTCTCTCTTACATCAATGTTTCTCACTCCCCCACTCTTAGGATCAATAAGCATGTCCTTATGTGAGTATACAAATAATAGTAATATAAAAAAATTTAGTTCATCCTGAAATGGTAATTTCTGATATATTAGGTTAAAACTACATTAAAATTAATTTTACTATTTCTTTTTACACTTTGTATTTTATTTTATTTATTCTCACCCAGGGACAATTTTTCATTGCTTTTAGAAAGAAAGGAGGGAGGGCGGAGGAGAGAGAGAGAGAGAGAAACATGGATGTGAAAAAGAAACATCAATTGGTAGCCTTCTCCTACATGCCTAGACTAGGGACTGAACCTGCAAGCTGGGTATGTGCCCTGACTGGGAAATGAACCCGTGAAGTTTTGGTCTATGGGATAACATTCCAACCAACTTAGCCAAGTGGACCAGCTCTTTTCTACACCTTAATTTGGCTACTAGGAAATTTCAAATACGTGTGCTTTATATTTTTATTGGACTATGCTGCTTTAGACCCTCAAATTGTTCTCACCACTCTATTCCCTTTCTCTAACATGTAATTCTATTAATCACATCTCTCTACTATCTCATTTTGTACATGATCTCTTAGTTACATTTAGTGCTTTTTGCTTTGTGCCCCTGTCCTTTAGACAAGTTTATAGTATAAAGTATCTTAAAATTTAGGAAATATTACAATGTAGGCTGTCAATAGCATCAACACAATTTTGAAACATACTTTGATGTATTTTTTAAATCCCAAGTAATGGAGTAGGTTAATTTCTAGTTCTTCAGTATATACACATTACATTTTTTTAAGTTAAATTTAAGAGCTATTTTTAACTTCTAAAATGCTTTCCAGGACTTACGTTTGCTGATGGTCGGTTCCCATTATTAGAGAGCTTCCACATTTTCATGGAAATACGTGCTGGATTAATATTTTTAATGATACTATCATCTTCAGAAATAACAGTAATCATAAAATCTGTCAGGGTAGACATTAAAAAATTATTTTCTTTATAGTTCAATTAATAGATTTGGCTAAATAATTGCATAACAGTTCCTCAAATAATATCATTTGGTTCAGCACTGCCTATATATTATAATGTTGATAAGACATCCAGGAACTTAACTCTTGTTCTTATTTATATAAATTAGCCTACAGTAAATATGGTTTTTGTTATATGTCATTTCTCTTAAAGCTGCAGAACCTAATGATGATGTTAAGTGAAGGCTTACCACACAGGCATACCTTGGAGATACTGCAGGTTTGGTTCCAGACCACCATAATAAAGCAAGTTACCACACATTTTTTGGTTTCCTGGGCATATAAAAGTTATTTCTGTACTGTACTCTATTAAGGGTGTAATAGCATTATGTCTAAAAAAAAATGTATATAATTTTAATTAGCCTGTTGAAAAATGGTGCCCAGAGACCTGCTTAACACAGGTTGCCAGAAACCTTTAATTTGGAAAAAAGTAGTATTTGAGAGACTCAGTAAAATAACATATGTTTGTATGTCAAAGTATACAACTTGTTTAAATGTTAATAAAATTCCGATGAAGAAAATAACAATATTCTATAACCAGCATTCTCTAACAATTTGTCTATAAAACTTGCTAATCATGACGGACAACGCTGGTGCTAAATCTTTCCCAGAAACCATACATACATCTTTGTTATTAATAGTTTCTTGTCTCATTTTCATAGTTTTGTCATGCTGTAAATTCTATCATGCAAGACCAAAAAAACTATCATGTAGATACTCAGCAACCTAGATTTCGGGCAACTGGTCATAAATCCATACATATGCTTTATGTATTCCAAGAATACAGTGTTTCTTTTCTCTTATGATTTTCAACAGCATACAGTAGTTAACTATTATTACACATAATACTTAAGTTTATCATCTGCAACATTCATTTGGCATCTGTTACAGTTTTTTAATCACAGGAAATAGGACTTATCTCCCCAAATAAACTTCAAATACTTGAATATAAAAGCCATATGTATATATATGGGGTTCAGCACAAATAACACCTTTTTATTGCAAAACCATTTATTACACAATCATAAGCATGTAATTCTGTAACGTAACAATATCAAACTCAAGCCCACCATATGTATGACATTTTAGGTGAAATGTTCAAATTAAAACTACAGATTATTACACCCATATTATTACTCTACCAACCACACTCAAGCAGGTATTACTTCTGCCAGACCCTATATGTACTGTAATTATTAAAAATTGTTAATTTTTGAATCTAAACTTTTTAGTCTGCTTATTTTAACTACATATATCTATGTATAAGAACTCGTCCCTTCAAGAAAACAGAAGTATTCAAGAAAATTACCTGTACAAAGCAAATAACATTACCTATTGAATTGGCACCTGCTACACTACACTGAAATTATTTGCTTATTTGATTATCTTCTATTGCGTTGGCCAAAAAGTTTGTTTAGTTTTTCTAAACAATGGTTCTAGTAGTGCTTAGTTGTCTTTAACTTCATGAGAAACAATTTTGTTAGATTCTATTATGATAGCTGTCATGTCAGTGTGCATTTTTAAAAAAACTTACCAAAACTGGTGAATTTCTGTGCAGCCATTTTAATATTGGAGATGGAAGAAGATATTCAAGATTTTCAATGTATTATGCTTTACTGTCTCAAAAAAAGGGAAAAATGCAACCGAAATGCAAAAAAAAAATTTGTGCAGTGTACAGAGAAGGTACTGTGACTGATCGAATGTGTCAAAAGTGGTTTGCAAAGTTTCTTGGTTCTACTGATATTTTGGCCAAATAATTCTTTGCTATGGGGCTGCCTTATGCTTGGAAGATGTTTAACAGCACCCCTGGCCTCTTTCCACTAGAAGTCAATAGTGGGAGATACCCAACATACTTGAAATATCCAAATCAATAAAGTTATTAGTCAAAATGAAAAATGCATCTTTTATTTTATGGAAAAATGTAACAAGACTCTTTGGCCAACCTCATACATTAACTGAACTCAGTTGCAGTAATGTGTGTAGACATAGCACATATCTAGTAAATCCTGGTTATTCTGAAATATCTTTCATCATAAATTCTGATGTGATGTATTTCCATACAAATTCAGTCAATCCTGCTTCTATTTTGTTTAAAATAACATTGCAATACATGTAGTAGATAGAGACTCCACAGTTCCCCCCCATGTAGCAGTTCGTATTTCTTTTGCAAAATGAATTACTTTAGGGTATCAGTTTATGTATGAACTTTCAGTTCATTTTATACCATTAAAGGAATGTAGGCTAAAAGGGTGAGAGAAGATATAGCTAAGTCAAATTTACTTTCCTTGTCATTTAAAAGGTTATTACATACTTGATTTTTTAAAATCATGCTAAACATCTAAAATAAATAATTTATTCCACTAATATAAAACGCAAATTATCATTACAATTTTTTTTAAAACTGTGAATTACTCACCAGTGAAAGTACCCCCTGCCAAAAAGGAAGCATCTTTGTCATATTTAACATTGAGACGAATGGGTTTTTCAGGGTCTGGAAGAATCATTAACTTAATTACAGGTCCTTCGATGGTACTTTTGTTATAGATGGCTTTCACTTGAATAGTATGTTCTCCTCTAACAAGAAAAAATGGGGGGTTGGGGAAGGGTTCAAATTGCATTAGTTATAATTTAAAAATTCTGAGAATTTATACAAAGTTTAACTCATTTAGGAACTACTCTTGCCCGTTCTATTACCTGCCTAACACTAAATAGAAGGCTAGTTAGCTCTTAACTTCAGCTAAGTTATTAGGAAAACCAATCTCTATAATACTATTAAACTCTCGGTTCTTACCTAGGGGCATAAACACTGAATACTCCCAAATTAGCCCTGCCCCTTTCATCTGTTTTATGCTGTTGGTTTGAAGGAGTGAGCTAAAAATAAAACAAAATAAAACGGTAATTAGAAAATTCTAGAGATCAAATTCTTTTCCTCTATTACCATTTAAACACTTATTGTTGCACACACTTCTGACACCTACAATTTTTCTAATTTCACAAACTCCGTACATTCCAAAACCGGGGTTCTGCAGCATGGCATGGGAGAAATGAATATAAATACACACACACACACACACACATGCAAGGCATTGTAATACTATGCCCACTGTTACTCCACCTTTCTCTTTGTTTACTCAAATGTGCTCCTAAGTCTTTGTTGCAATACTACCTTCATTAGTGATAACCATGTTTTCACTTTCAAGTGATTAAGAATCAGTAGCTACATTTCCTAATCACTGATTATAAAAGACTCAGCATTTTACAAATGCTTCTCTAGAAACTAGAATCACACTCTTACTTGGCATAGAAGAAGAATCAGTTTAACTCTTCTAGAAACAAACATTAAGAACACTAGTGAATTTGCCCTGGCTGGTGTGGCTCAACTGGTTGGGGAGTGGTCCTGTAACCCAAAACGTCACAGGTTTGACTCCCGGTCATGGCACATGTCTAGGTTGTGGGTTTATTTCCTGGTCAGGGAGCACAGGAGAGGCAAGTGATCGATGTTTCTCTTCCTCTCTCTCTCCCCCTTCCTTCCCTTCTCTCTAAAATCAATAAGAATGTCCTCAGATGAGGGGAAAATAAAAATAAAAAGTGAATTTGTAAAGTGTAGTAACAGAAAAAAATCACACTTCTAAACCCTAATACTTATTTTTACTTAATATAACCAAAAAATTAGATAGCTATGGTACACGAAAAAGAAAAAGCAATAGTTGGTGAGGCAAAATTAAGGAGTAAGTGAAATGACAAAGCTCTATATTTGTATTTGTCACATTTACCCTCTGATCTACTCTCTTTCAACCCATTTTTCTCAAAGCATTCCATCTGGGTCCTAAATCCTTGTAGCTAAGCCAGAGAAGCAAATCTATTTCAGGCTGCATAACAGCAATATCATAATCCTTTTAACAGGCTTAAGATCTCTAAGCCTGACTACTTTACTATGAAAACAAGTCCATGTTTTGGACTTCCTGATGTCCAGCACTATGTTTGCCTCCAAACATTACAGGGCCATATTTGTGCTTGCCCCATACCCTAAAACAAAACCCAGGATAGGTCTAGCAGCTATGCCCAGGCCCTTGTAGGTAACTCACAAGCTTTTTTTTTTTTTTGCTTTCTCCAGCTTGCAAGTTTCCTTAATAATACCTGTTTCTTAACCCATACTGCAGGTCAATATATCTGCCCTTCAGTCATACCTTGTCAGTGTTACCTACTCATCCTAATCTGAAATCCAAACACTGGTATTAGTAAACACGAAACAGTCATAATCAAAGCACAATGTCCCATTATACTACTTGAAGATGTAAACTTTATTTCCTCAAAATATTTATGAAAAAATCTCTAGGTTGATTTAAACTAAGTAATAATAAAAATCACACAAACTATACTTAAAAGAATGTGACACCTAAAAACATTAATATTAAGAATGAAATCCACTATTTTAAGTGAAAATGATTTATTTAAAACCTACCTTCAAATTGTTAGGTTTTATGACATTTATTTTAACCTGTGGTACAGGTGCTGGGTTATCCCACTGATCACAAAGTTGAACAATGAAAGGATTCTGTAATTCTCTTCCATTAATCACTGGAATAGACTGACACAGATAAAAATACTTTAAGAAGCAATAAAACATGTCACAAACTATTTGAATACTATTTGTATACTTCTACACTGATCATAAAGTCTCAGTTCTATTCACAAATGGCTTCCTTCATCAATTATAATACTTTTAAAAGTCAATTATACTATCACTAATGATCCTCAAAGAAATTATTACTAATTTGATAAAAGGAAAAACAGCATTTGATATTACTGAAAGTTACATATCAGAATGACTTCAAAGGAAAGAGAAGCTTACATTAGGTTCCTGGATTTAGCATTGGTTATTTATAGGTTAGCTCCTCTATAAATTTTCAGACCTCTGCCATTCTACATGAAGCAATAATATACTTTCTTAGACCTTAGTTAAATAGGACTAGCCCTTAGTTAAATATTGTCTTATTTGTTCAAAACACTTCTTGCTTTCCCCCTACTTTATGTAAGGCCTGCATAATTCTGGGAATTTGCCTCCTGACCTATTAATATTGGATATATCAAAGGAAACACTGTCAAGCAAGAAACCTGTCATATACTAGTTTATCTGTTGTTGTTTTTAACTCACAAATCAAAAAGAATAATCTGAAACGAGAGACAGGTATGTAAACCTTTCCTAGATGATCTGCTCCTTCAGTAGCATAGTTTCATCTAGTACCACAGTCATAAGTGTTTATTTTCCTTTAGAAAAAAATGTAAGCTATCATACCAATAGGTGCCCTGCTATACTGTAAGTAAATGGCAGAATCTAAACATATAAAAATTAAAATTCTAAAGTTTTAGTAAAAATTCAACAAAAGTAACAGATTTGCAGAATTAGTATTTAAGACTTAACTACTTGCACAGGAAGGCATATTTAAGTTTTTATGGGTATAATGACTTGGTATCTGGTATGTGTTTTAAAACTCTGGCAAAAAAACATTTTTAAGTCACTAAGATAGAACAACGAAAAAACAATGGGCAAAAATCAGTTACTGTTTTAAATGTAGTTTCTTTTTACTACTTTGACTTTTATGCATGTTTGAAAATATCTATAACATTCAGAATTTGAATTATTACATTATTTTTTAACAAACAAGGACTCAGTGATGAATTAAATACTGAAGTATTAAGAAACATATTAATTTAGGTAGTCTTGAGAAGTTCACAGCAATACAGGCTAACATAAAAGGATATAAACATTTAAAATAAACAACTTAACCCTATATCTACAATTAGAGTAACAAGAAAGACAGCCCAGAGCAAGCAGAAGGAAGGAAATAACCAAGAGCAGAACTGAATCATACAGAGACTAAAGGAACAATTCTAAGGATCAATAAATCCAGGAGCTGGTTCTTTGAAAAGATAAACAAAATCAACAAGCCTTTAAGCAAGCTCATCAAGAAAAAAAAGAGAGAAGACCCAAATAAACACAATCAGAAATGAAAGTGGAGAGATTACAACTGATACCACAGAAATACAAAGGATTGTAAGAAATTACTAAGAAGAACTATATGCCAAAAAATTTGAAAACATAAGTAAAATGGACACATTTCTGGTAAAATGTAATCTCCCAGAACTGAATGAAGAAGCAGAAAGCCTGAAAGACCAATAACAGGTGATGAAATTGAAGCAGTAATAAAAAATTCTCAGCACAAAAGCCCTGGACTGGATGGTTTCACAGGAAAATTTTACAGAACAGTTAAGGAAGAGCTAACCTGTATCCTTCAGAGACTTTCAAAATATCCAAGAGGACGAAGACTCCCAAACTCTTTTTATGAAGCCAGGATCATCCTAATCTCAAACCAGACAAAGACACAACAAAGAAAGAAAACTACAGGCCAATATCACTGATGAACATAGATATTAAAATCCTCAACAAAATATTGGCAAACCACATCCAGCATTAAAAAGATCATACACCATGATCAAGTGGGATTCATCCCAGGGATGAAAGGATGGTACAATATTAGCAAACCAATAATCATAATATATCACATAAACAATAGGAATAAAAATCATATGTTCATACAATAGATGCAGAAAAAGCATTTGATAAGGTACAGCACCCATTTATGATAAAAACACTCAGCAAAGTGGGAGTACAGAGAGCATCCCTCAACATAATAAAGGCCATATATGAGAGACCTACAGCCAACATCATACTCAACAGGCAAAAACTAAAAGCTTTTCAACTAAGATCAAGAACAAGACAAGGATATCCACTTCGACCACTTCTATTCAAATAGTATTGGAAGTCCTACCCACAGCAATCAGGCAAAAAGAAGAAATAAAAGGCATCCAAATTGGAAAGGAGGAAATAAAATTGTCATTGAAGATGACATGATAATGTGCACAGAAAACCCTATAGACTCCACCAAAGAACTACCCAACCTAATAAGTAAATTCAGCAAACAGTGAAATACAAAGCAAATATTGAGAAATCAAAGGCATTCTTGTACACCAACAATGAAGTATCAGAAACAGAAATCAGGGGAAAAAAATCACATTTGCTGTAACAATAAAAGAAAAGTACCTAGGACTAAATCCAACCAAGGAAGTAAAGTTCTTTACTCAGAAAACTACACAACACTGAAGAAGGAAATTAAGGAAAACACAAATAAATAGAAGCATATACCATGTTCATGGACTGGAAGAATTAACATTGTCAAAATGTCCATACTACCCAAAGCAATTAATAGATTCAACCCAATCCCTATCAAAATACCAATGACATATTTCACAGATATGGAACAAACATTTCAAAAATTTATATGGAACCATAAATAACCTCAAATAGCTGCAGCAATTTTGAGAAAGAGGAACAAAGTAGGAGGGATCACCATGTCTGACATCAAACTATATTATAAGGTCACTGTAATCAAACAATCTTATACTGGCAGAAGAACAAACACAGATCAATGGAACAGATTAGAAAGCTCAGAAATAAATCAAAGTATCTATGGTCAATTAATATTCAACAAAGGGGGTGGAGCATAAAATGAAGTAAAAATAGCCTCTTCAATAAATGGTGCTGGGAGAGCTGGACAGCCAATGCAAAGAAATGAAAATGGACCACCAACTTATACCATACACCAAAATAAATTCAAGATGGATAAAATACTTAAATATAAGCCATGATACCATAAAAGTCCCAGAGGAAAACATAGGCAGGGAAATCTCAGATATTCCACACAGCAATATTTTCACTGGTATGTCACCTAGAGCAAGGAACATAAAGAAAAGAACAAATGGGACTTCATCAATATAAAAAAGCTTCTGCGTGGCTAAAGAAAACATTAGCAAAATGAAAAGGGAACCAATGGTATGGGAAATATATTTGCCAATGATAACCTCAGACAAGGGTTTGATCTCCAAAATAGAACTCACACAACTCCACTCCAGGAAGACAAACAACCCAATTAAAAAATGGGCAAAGGACCTGAACAGACACTTCTCCAAGGAGGACATACAGAGGGCCCAGAGACACACGAAAAGATGCTCAGCATCACTAGCCATCAGAAAGATGCAAATTAAAACCACAATGAGATATCACTGCACACAAGCCAGAATGACCATCATAAATCAACAAACAAGTGTTAGGATATGGAGAAAAGGGAACCCTAGTGCACTGCTGGTGGGAATGCAGACTGGTGCAGCCACTGTGTAAAATGGTATGGAATTTCCTCAAAAAACTAAAAATGAAGCTGCCTTTTGACCTGGCAATTCCACTGCTGTATTTTAGCTTAAGAACCCTGAAACACCAATTCAAAAGAACCTATGCATCCCAATGTTCATAGCAGCACAATTTACAATAGCCAAGAGCTGGAAGCAGCCTAGGTGCCTATCAGTAAATGGGTGGATAAACTGTGGTACATTTACACAATGAAATACTACGCAGCAGAAAAAAAAGGAGCTCCTACCCTTTGACAGCATGGATGGAACTGGAAAGCATTATGTTAAGTGAAGGAAGCCAGGCGATGAAAGACAAATATGATCTCACCTATAAGTGGAACCTAATCAATAAAACAAACAAGCAAGCAAAATATAACCAGAGGTATTGAAATTAAAAACTGACAGTAAGCAGAGGGGAGGGGCAAGGGAAATAATGGGGGAAAGATGGGAAAGGGTTGTCAAAGAACATGTACAAAGGACCCATGGACAAAGATAAAGGGGCAGGGTAGGACTGAGAATGGAAGGTGGGGGTGGCTGGGACAGGGGAAAGTGGTGGTGGTAAAATGGAGTCAACAGTATTAGAACATTAATAAAAATGATTAAAATTTTTAAAAAAGAATCATTACTTTGTCCTTTTATTATTGTTACTGTTATTTGTTGTTACTTCAAAAACAAAATGTATCTATTTTGATCCACTTACAAGCTGAAAAAAATAAGCCAGGTTATATTCTTTCTATCAAGTAGAAAGGTTACTTACCTCCTTTACTTCTGGCCAGTCTACAAGGAGAAGTTTAGCTGGTGGCCCAGAAATTAGCTGCACTCGAATAAAGTCAGAAAACTCACGCCAAGTAAAACAAAGATCCTTATTTCCAGGAGGACCTGGCATAAATCTGATGCCTCTTACACTTATACTCTGTGAATTTTCCTAGTAAGGAAAACAAGTACATTGAGAAAAGATAGGGAGATGTGTTTCTGGGTAAAACAACAGCAAATAACTTGCACATACATCAATATTGGCATACCATGAATTCTATCTCCTTCACCAGAGAAACTGAATTTATTTGTAAGGAAGAGATGTAAAAAAATCTATGTCCTTTTACCTTACTGTTTCTAATTTCCCTCGTATCTGTACTTAACTGTCTCCTTTTTAAAAAAAATATGTATTTTATTGACTATCCTACTAGTAGTTCCATTTCTGCCCCATTTATTTCCCTCCACCTTGTACAAACCCCTCCCACCCGCATTCCCACCTTTAGTTCATGTCCATGGGTCATATGTATAGATTCTTATTAACTGTTTCCTTTCTGTTTCCACATAGCAAAGAAAATGCTTGCTCAATACCCTTTTGCACTTGCTCTTTTCAGTCCCTTGTAACGTTCTTTACCAGATATCTACACAGCTTTTCTTTCGGTTTCTGCATACAGCATATCTTATTCAGAGGGGTTTTCACTGACTACTCTATATAATGGCACTCTATGCCCTTACCATGCTTTGTTTTTCTTGTCACTCACATTTCACCTATTGCATGCTCTCCACACTACAAGGCAATCTCTAATAAGGCAGGGACTTTGATTTGAAACTGCTGAATCTCTGGTACTTAGAATACTCAACACATATTAATGGGAATTAATAAAACAAGGTTGTAATTTTTGGATGTGACTGAATATAAATGAATTCCATACTGGCATAAGCACTGTAATATCTGCATTTTAATACTGACCTTCAATGATTTCATCATCTTAAATTTCCACTAAGGACAAATTCAACAGATTTAAAAAATCAATATTAAAATTTTATGTTTTCTGTTTAGAAACAACTGTTTGTAGAATATTTTCTGTAAGAAGACATTTCAAAATAATCAACATTAATCTCTCTAAACCCCAATGAGTGCAGACAGTGGGAATTTTTCAATATTTGAAAAACAATTAAATATTTATTAGTAAAACATATTGAAAGTTCAAAAATATGTAAAGTTAACATAGAATTTCACATTCAATAGTGAAGCACCAAAAGCCCTTTTGAAGAAGTAATTTCTTTGTCATGTTGGAAGTTATTCTGATTTTAATTCAAATCTTAAAAGTGAAATCTGTATACACCTTTACAAATTATACATAAGTACAGATAGAATTAAACATAAAATTCTTAAAGGCACTCTCTAAGGTCTAATGTTGAAATTATCAAAGGAATGTACTTCAGAATAGTCGTAATTTTATGTAGATGGAGAAATAAGAATGATTTTAAGAAACGATGACATGAAAACTACTTTTTATTTAAAAAAATAAAAAGCTCTTTTATCTTTTCAGAGACTGGGGGTAGACTATGCTGTCTCAAAGTGAGTCAATACAGTATATTAGGTGTAAAATGACACAGGAAGAAAGTCTACTTGGCTAGTGAATATTGAACTATGGGAAGAGAAAGATGTGAGATAATGCTGTCGTTAAATACTACTAAGTATTGTAGGCTATACTAAAGTGATAGAGTCTAACTTTATAAAGAGAAATGCTGATAGGTCTGATAGATGACATAAGACGAAAACTGAAAACACACAATGAATTTGATCAAGTAGAATAGGGCAGAAAAAACGTGCTGAGTGGGGCCTGCCTGGGAATGTGAAAACAGGCAATACATACAACCCTTCCAAGGAGTTATACTATAAAAAAAGAGAAATAGGGTAGTAGACTGACAGGGATTCAGAGCCAAAGAAAGTTTCGGGGTGGGTGTTTTTTTGGGGGGGTTGAGTGTTTTTTTTTTAAAGATTTTATTTATTTTTAGAGAGAGGGGAAGGGAAGGACAAAGAGAGGGAGAGATATTTCAATGTGTGGTTGCCTCTCATGTGGCCCCTACTAAGGGACCTGGCCTGCAACCCAGGCATGTGCCCTGACTGGGAATTGAACCAGTGACCCTTTGGTTTGCAAGCTGGCATTCAATCCACTGAGCCACACCAGCCAGGGTGGGGGTGGGGGTGTTTTTTAAGATGAGAGATATAGCATGTTTATATGCTGATGGGTGTCTAATACAACTAAAAATGCAGAAAAATAGATTACAATTTAGAACCAGTTAGTGAAAGAATATGGAAGTCTGTGTGTAAAGTGGTAGGAAACAGGTGGTTCATTCATAAAAGTAGGAGCACAGTATCTTATTTCATTTATACACATGGAAAAGCTGGATAATTGAACAACCTGAATATCAAAGAGCAGACCTTGTCTTTGTACAGTGAACAAAACATTATTAAAAGTTCTTCAGCAATGCTAAGATTTGGTGAAAGTGGTGTTCTGAAGACTTAAAAATAATAGCACAACAGATTAGTGGAAATAGAAACTAAGTTAGGAAGGCAACAAGGAAGCTATTCTTGTGATTATTCTGTCAGGTAAAAACTATAATGGAGGCTCTAAAAGGAAGAGTTTTATTTTTATTTTTTAATAGAAAGCTAGTTTATTTTTTAAAAGATTTTTATTTATTTACTTTTAGAGGAGAAGGGAGGGAGAAAGAGGAGGGAAACATCAATGTGTGGTTGCCTCTCACATGCCCCCTACTAGGGACCTGGCCTGCAATGCAGACATGTGCCTTGACTGGAAATAAACCGATGACCCTTTGGTTCACAGGCTGGAAAAAGAGTTTTATAAAAGGATTAAATGCTCTACATGATTTTAGCTTTATTTTGGCCTAAGAGTTCCTCCTCTTTCACCTACTTTGGCCTGGCAAATTTCTTGAAGAGCGAACTCCCATCATCACTGCCCAAAAACTGTCTTTGATCTCTCCAAATAGAATATATCTATTTGTCTGCTTGTTTTAAACTAAAATAATTGCACCAAAATTCTTATTTTTCAAACTAATCTCAATATCTACACAGTTATAAACTTTCACAATTACAATGAAGGCTATGAGCACTAAGAAATTTTATTTAAATAACTGCATGACAAACTGCCTGTATATGCATATCAAAGCATTTATGAATATGGAATATGCTTAAACATGATATGATATAGAGGGAAGTAATGACAATTGAAGCTGAGTGATGGGAACATGGGGATTACACTATTTTTTGCATATGATCAAAATTTTTAATCATAACAAGTTTCTGTAATGCTTTTTTATGATTTTTCATTAGAAAGATTAAAATAAAACTTCTTTAGTTATTTTAGCTTTCCCCAAATTGTGTTATATATAGAAATGAATGGCATAAGACAACTATTACGAAAAGCAGCCATACCTGAAAGGTAGTTTTCAACTGTGAGTTATCAAGTCCATTACCAGCAATTCCCAAGGAAGATAAAGAACTTGGTGAAAATGCTTGAATCTGATTTCCATACTGATCTGTAACTATTACAACTAAAAGAAATGTTTAATTTTAAATTGTCATCTTTTAATAAAATATACAAATTACCTATAAATACATTTTTATGCTTCAGTTAAATTATGCTTAGAAACTCACTCTAGCTGTTCTCTTTTGTATTTTTGAAAAATTCATTACATTGACTTTTCTTATAACTGGTACAAAAATATCAAGAATATACACCAGTACATTTGTATTTATATGTTTAAAATAATGCTGATGTTAACCAGATTTTTACCATAAAAATCTGAAAAAAAAAATAATTTAGTAATATTCTAGATCAGTGATTTTCAACAAATGTGCTTCAACACACTGGTATGCCAAGAGAATTTTTAAAACGTGTCAATACCTGGCTATTTAGTCAGGGCCCCTGACCTCTTTTCTCTTAGATTGTCAAATAAAAACATTGACAACAGCCAACACAACAGTAGCCATCCAGGGTGAATGCCCTGTTTTGAACCATAAATATAAAGGTCATATTAGAGTTGCATCCTACTGGTCACATCACATAATAAGGTTCATCTGATTGTTCAATTCTTGGTACCAGAAATTCTTACATACAAGTACAGGCATCTGTTTTTTTTTTTAGTGACTTTGGAGCAAAAATGATGGGTAATTACTATTAGTATTTTTTTGTAAATCAGTAAAAACTATTCCTATTCTTATGTGGGACTGGCAAAATGTGTATTTTTTTGGTGAGCCGCAAAATCTTAGTGATTAGTTTGTGTGTCGTGATAAGGTTGAAAATCACTGTTCTAGATATATGAAAAATACAGGAGACATATGTACCACTGATAGATTTACTTTACACTTTTAATATTAGCTATTATAACTTCCAGCAAAAACCAACATTTTTCCAAGAAACTATTTTTGCCAAACTGATTTCACAGTTACGTCAGCAAAAATAGTGAAAATACTTCAATTTTTTGACAATGGATTTTAAACCAATAATTGTATATAAACTCAAAGCTTTCCTTTCAAATTATATACATCAAAACATAACCATGACCACATATTATATAAGTATTTTAAAGAAAAAAAGCAAGACATACTAACCTATTTCCCCTTGAAGTTCTTGGCCCATCTGTACTGTTTTTCCTCCTCTTAACTCGCACTTTAGATGTTTAGGTTCATCAGGCAGGGGCCTGAAATTGGTTCCCAATTTAAAAGGTCACAGTCATACCATTAGTTGCAAAAAAAAAAAAAAAAAAGATTTAAAGTAGTTTTGCTATGCTAAAGATGTATATCATTCAGTTTCTAAAACTTAAATACAATTTATATATTTACAGAACATCACTTAACACAAGAATAAATAGAGAAAAAAGCTTGCAAAGATAGTAGAGAATACTGTCAAAAAATTATGTAAGTATTAAATCATAGTATCTATGCTGGATTAAAAAGAAATTATAATGAGAGCAATGAAAGAAAAGACAGTAAGAATAACTCACCCAGAGATCTGGCTATGGTGAGAAAGTAGTATATCTAAAAATTTTACCTCAATTTACAAAATTTTTGCTATTTTAAGTGTTGGAAATAGCATAAAAATGGGTAGAGGAATTAAAAGTCAAGTGGGTACTGAAAAAAGGTGGCCAAGGAATTGACTGGCCAGGCTAAGAGATGAGTTTTTTAGTATACTTACTTGCTTTGCCCTTTTCTATCAGTTCTATATATTGGGTCTGGCTGGACTTAGCTTTGAAAATCATCACTAATTAATGAAAGAAGTTTTCCTTGTGAATAACACACTGACTGATTACACTGTATATTTTTTATGTTTCATGTCTGTCATTTTTGCAGGTGTTTTCACAGTTGCTTGCACTAGGACGACTTTCCTTTAATGAAAGTTCCAGTTCTTATAGATACTAGAGGCCAAATTAAACAAAGGGTTATATATAGTGATATTAAGAAGTAATCATCTCTCCAGTGAAACTTTATTCCAAAGACAACCTATCATATTTCACAGCAATTGTGATACTTTCTACATATAAAAACAATTTCTACATACATGCATTTGAGAAAGTATGTTTGTTGTCATATGCTGAATTTTGAAATACTTCCACATTTAATCTGCACACAGACCTTACTGTAAATGCACTTTCCAAAGACACATGATCATCCTGAAATGAAACCTGGCAATAGCGCATATCTTTTACAGATGTTGGTACTTGTACATCAGGAAGCAGTCCTTGTAGCAAGTGTTCTTTGTTAATCTCAGGAGTCCAATTAACCTAAGAGAAAAATGAAACTTAAGAATAAAACACTTAGTCCAATACCATTCTACTAACACTTATCTTCCTGAATGAAGTCTTAAAGTTAATTTATAACCCATTCTCCTTCCCTATGAGGAAAAAGAAAGCCCCTTTATGACCAGAATGATGGTGGGTCACATAATACTATGATCAAAATGTATCTTCTGCCCTGGCTGATGTAGCTCAGTGGACTGAGCATGGGCCTGCGAACCAAACAACAGCGGTTGGATTCCCGGTCAGGGCACATGCCTGGATTGCAGGCCAGTTCCCAGCAGGGGATGCACGAAAGGCAACCATACATTGATATTTCTCTCCCTCTTTCCTTCCCTTCCCCTCTAAAAGATAAATAAACAAAAAATTTTTTAAAAAAGTATTTTCTTCATCTTAGCTATTAATGTTGCCATATCTTTCAATGCAATAAAATAAAAATTCTTAAGTTAATTCTTTAGAGTTTTGCAACAAGATTATCACTGTGGTAATTATAGTTTAAAATAATATATACAAAGGCAGATCAAATGACATGACTGAATCTGAGCAGTAATTTCATATTTTTTAAAAGAACCTTGTTAATACAGGCTTTGAATGAGATTTTGGGTGGACCTTTTATTCACCAAGATGAGAAAACAGAAATTATATCCACTGAAGTAATTACCACTAACTACAATACATTTTGGCTTTAATCCATTTTTTAAGAGTTTATTTCAAGCATTTTTTAGCTCAATTTTTAGTGCATATTTCTCAATTACCAATTATACCCTCTTTCACCTCCACTGATACCCACCCTCTGTCAATCACCACCTTGTTGTCCATGTCCATGAGTCTTTTCTCTTCTTTGCTTGATCCCTCCCCTTGATCAAGGGGATCTCTTGATCCTGTCAGCCTGCTCTCTATCTATGAGCTGGTCTCTACTTCACTGGTTCAGTTTGTTGATTAGATTCCATATATGAGTGAAATCATATGGTATTTTTCTCTGATCAGCTTATTTTACTTAGTAGTAATATTCTGCAGGTGAATCCATGATGTTGCAAAGGGTAACATTCTTTTCTTTTTTTTAAGGCCAAGTAGTATTCCATGGTGCAAATGTACCTCACTTGTTTTGTCTATTCATATAATAACAGACACCTGGGCTGTTGCCAAATCTTGGCCAGTCTAAATAATGCTGCAATGAACATTAAGGGTACTTATATTTTTGCAAACCACTGTTCCAGGTCCTTTTTTCCCCTAGAAATATTCTCAGAAGTGGAATCACTGGGTTATAAGGGAGTTCCACTTTTTATCTTTTAAGGTAACTCTATACTTCTTTCCACAGTGGCTGCACCAGTCTGCATTCCCACCAACAGTGCAAAGGTGTTCCCCTTTCTCCACATTCTCCCCAGCACTATTTGTTGATTTATTGATGACAGGCATTCTGACAGATGTGAAGTGAACATCTCATTATGGCTTAATTTGCATTTCTGACTAGTAATGCTGAGCACCTTCTCATATGTGTATTGGCCATCTGTGTGTCCACTTTGGAAAAGTGTCTATTCAGGTCCTTTGCCCATTTATTAATTGGATTGTTTGGGCATTTTGGTGTTGAGTTTTATAAATTTTGGATCTTAACCCCTTGTCATATAAATCATTGTTGAATATGTTCTCCCATTCATTGGGTTGTCTTTTTATTTTCTTTCTTTTGCTGTGCAAAAACTTTTTAGTTTGATGTTCCATTTATTTTTTTTATTTACCTTGTCTGAGGAGATACATCGGAAAAAGTAATGCTATGATTAATGTCTGAGATTTTATTCCCATGTTTTATTCTAGGATTTTTATGGTTTTGAGTCTAACAATTAAGTCTTTAATCTGTTTTGAATTTATACTTGTGCGTGGCATAAGAAGGTGGTGTAGTTTCATTCTTCTGCATGTATCTGTCCAATTTTCCCAAACCAGTTTATTGAATATACTGTTTTAGCCCCCTGTATGTATTTACTTCCTCATCACATATTGACTATACAGGCATGGGTTTATTTCTAGGCTACTTTGTTCCAATGATCTATGTAAGACGCAACAGTTTTTATGCAAATACCCTGCTCTTTCTGTTACTATGACCTTATATTTTGGTTTGATATTAGGTAGGGTGATTCCTCCACCTTTGTTCTTCTTTCTCAAGATCACTGTGGGTCTTCTTGGTTCCACAGAAATCTTTGAAATATTTGTTCCTGTTCTGTAAAATACAACACGGTATCTTTTTTTTTTTTTTTTTAAAAGAGAAAGAGAAGGAGAGAAACATCAATGTATGGTTGCCTCTCATGTGTCCCCCACTGGGAACTGGCCTGCAACCCAGGCATGTGCCCTGACTGGGAATCAAACCGCGATCGCATGGTTCGCAGGCCCGCGCTCAATCCACTGAGCTACGCCAGCCAGGGCACAACACGGTATCTTGATATAAAATGCACTGAATCTACAGATTGCATTGGGGACCATGGATACCTGAGTGATGTTAATTCTTCCTGTCATAAACACAGTATGTGCTTCTACTTATTTGTATCTCCTTAAATTTCTTTCTTCAATTTCTTATAATTTTCTGAGTATAGGTCTTTTAGATCCTTGGTTAAAGTTTTTTCCTAGGTATTCTTTTTGAGGCAATTGTGAATGGGATTGCTTTCTTAATTTCCCTTTCTGATAGTTCATTATAGGCATGTAAAAATGCAACTGATTTCTGGATACTAATTTTGTATCCTGCTACCTATTTCATTTATCAGTACTAGTAGTTTCTTGGTGGAATCTTTAAGGTACTCTATGTACAGTACCATGTCCTCTGCAAATAATGATAGTTTTCTTCCTTTCTAATTTGGATGCCATTTCTTCTTGTCTGATTGCTGTGGGTAGATTTTCCAGTACTATGTTGAATAAGAGGTAAAAGCAGACATCTGTCTTGTTCCTGATGTTAAGGGCAACACTTGTAGTTTTTGCCCATTGAATATGATGCTGATAGTGGTTTTATCATATATGGCCTTTATTATGTTTAGATATGTTCCCACTTTGCTGAGAGTTTTTTTTTATATATGGGTGCTGGATTTTATTAAATGCCTTTTCTGCATCTACTGATGTGTTCGTGTGGTTTTTATTCATTTTATTTGTTGTTTATCATATTTATTGATTTGTGAATGTTATACCACCCTTGCATTTCCAGAATCAAATCCCAATTGATCAAAGTGTATAATATCTTCTGATGTATTCCTATATTTGGTTTGCTAATATTTTCCTGATGATTGTAACATCTATGTTCATCAGGAATATTGGCCTATAATTTTCTTTCTTTGTAGTCTCTTTATCTGGTTTTGGAATTAGGATAATGTTGGCCTCATAAAATGAGCTTGAAGGTCTTCCATCCTCTTGAATTTTTTGGAATAGTTTCAGAAAGAGAAGTGTTACTACTTTTCTGAATGTTGGTTCAAATCACCCTTTGATTAACAGGCCAGGATTCAATCCACTGAGCTACACCAGCCAGGGCTATTGCTCCTTCAATTTTAAATGATAGCCTTGCTGGGTTAAGTAGCCTTGGCTGTAGGTCCTTGCTTTTTATCACCTTGAATATTTCATGTCAATCCCTTCTGGCCTGAAATGTTTTTGTTGAGAAATCAAGTGACAGTCTTATGAGAGATCCCTTGTAGATAACTACAGTCATACCTCGGTACTTGTTGGCCACAGAACTTGTCAATCCCTGTATTCATCAAGTTCTGATGAGAAAAAAATGTTCCAGCACTTGGTGTTTGCTCGGGACTTATTGCATTTGCTAGAACTTATATGAGCCACAATACCATCCTGCAAGAGAAAATGCTTCATTGTTCTGTACCCATTGGTTTCAGCACCCATCATGACTTCCAAAATGAATTAGCAACACTGTAACTGCTTTTCTCTTGCTGCTTTTAAGATTCTTTCTTTGTCTTTAAGTTCTGCCATGTATTCTGGTGTTGGCCTATTTCCGTCCATCTTATTTGAGACTCAGCACTTGATGGACATGTTTGTCTTTTTCTTTCACCAGGTTAGAAAGTTTTCAGTAATCATCTCTTCAAATAGGTTCTCCATCCCTTGCTCACTCTCTTCTCCTTCTGATATCCCCTTGTGAATGATATCACACTTCATGACGTCCCGAAGATCCCTTAAACTCCCCTCTTTTAGAAAATTCTTTTTCTTTTTGCTCTGCTTGGCTGGTTTTTTTTTTTTTTTTACCTTGTTTTCCAAATTACTGATTTGATCCTCTGCTTTATCTAACCTGTTGACACCTTCCAGTGTATTATTTCATATACTGCATTATTTCTGACTTGTCCTTTTTTATGGTTTGTATGTCTTTTTTTCACATTGTTGAGCATCCTTATAATCATTACTTGGAACTCCGTATCTAATAAATTGCTTGCCTCCATTTCACCTTGTTGTTCTGGAGAATTCTCTTGTTGTTTCATTTGGGGCCTGTTTCTTTGTCTTCCCATTTTGGCTGCTTCTTTGTGTTTGTTCCTACGTATTAGGTAGTTCTGCAAAGACTATAGAGCAAACCTATGCCAGATGCTGGCTGCCACTGGCCCTGGGCAACCTGTTTCAAGCTATCAGTGATCCACAGCTTGTGACTCCTTGTTGTAGGCCTGGCTGTGTGCAGAAAGAACCAAGCTCCAGAGGTAGGCCAGCTTTTATCAGCACAGGGCCTGTGGGCTAAAGTCCTAAAGGTTCCAGAAATCCCCCCCCCCCCGTCCCCGATCTGCAGGCTTTCTGTTGGTCTTATTCATAAAAGTGCCTCCAGCTGTACTCCTCAGTAGCTGAGTTTAAGCTCCACAGGGTGGGACTCTTGCTTTTTCCCAGGCTGATGCCAAAAAGAGGAGCGTGGTCTGCCAGAGAAAGATGGCTTCTACAGTATGAGGAATAACTGAACACAAGGATCCTGGTGGCTGACCCTTCAGCTCTGTCTTCAGAGCCACCAACCCTCATGTGGCTCTGCCTCATGAGGCAATTTCCTCATGTGGCTCTGACTGCTCTGCCTTTCCTCTGCAGGAACTCAGGGTAAATGGCTACAAATGGTATTTTGTGTGTTGGCCCTTAAAGCAGCTCTGTGTCTCTTGCCATATTTCTCTCTGGTGGACAAAAACCCCACTGATTTTCACAGCCTGATGTTATTTGGGTTCCTTTCCAGGTTCTGGTGCTCTAGGCTGGGAATTCAGACCCCACACTTCTCAGGGGGAACCCCACCAGGCCACTGGAACTTCAGCTCCTGCCCACAGAAGCTCAGCCAGCCCTCTCATGCCTCACCACATTTTACCAGTCTTGTTCTAGTGATGTAAGTCCTTGGTTGTAAGGCTTCTCTCTAGCTAGTGCTCAGCTGGTTATTCAGGGTACTTTTTTTATAATTTAGATGTAATTCCAGTTTGGTCCTGTGAGGAGGGGTTAGTGTAGCTTCCACTTATTCTTTCACTATCTTGGGTCTCCCCTTAACCCATTCTTAAATGCTTTTTGCTCTAGTTGAATTTTGTATTTTTTGTATTCCATATTTTAATTTGTTACTGGATCCATATTTTAAAATTGATTATCCTAATATATCCTACTTTGAAACCTCCAGTCCTTGCTATTTCTGATTTTTTAGTTAAACTTCCTCTCTGCTTTCAGCCTTTGACCACTGTCATTCTTTAATCGTTGATTTTCTAATATTTTCATCCCAGTTTATACCATTCTAATGTTCTTAGTCACCTTTTTATTTTTTTAAACCATCTTTCACTCTTATTTATTCTTTATTGTACTTTTTTTAAACAATAGAAAAAAGCGAGAGTTACATAAAAATGGTGCTATCCCTTCAATACATTCTTTGTTCAGTTTTGGATTTATTTTCCTAAATATTAGAGAGTTCTCTAAAAACTACAAAACCTCTTTAAAGACTATATGTTTCATTTAATAATATAGTATTTAATATTTTTAAACTAACAACAAAGAGGTGAATGTTTTAAAACCTTTGGAACTCAAGAAGCACATAACTACTAGATTGGAGGCAAAATGCGTCAAAAGCAGGCCACAAGCTCAGAGAATGGCAAAAAGAAAGTTATATACAGGAAGTGGCTCTCCAGTCAATGTTTCTTAACTTCAGTAAGAAAGGGGGTAAGGAGGAAGGGTCATCTGTAACAGTATAAACAATAGAGTAAGAAAAAGAAAAAAGAAGAAGAAATAGGATGCAGAACCAGTTTAGAAGCCAGGTTCCTGGCACTATTTTTAAACCACTCAATTTCGATTCTGCTAATATACAACAGATGAAAACGATCTGTGTCCCCCTTTCAGGATTATTTATCTCCCCATCCTCCCTTTCCTTACTAATGAGGGAAAACATAAACTGATTGTAGCAAGAGTTATTCCAAATAAGATTTTAAAAATAAGATCCGGTTAAACGATTCTTTTAAAATATCAGATCCTACATTTGGAGACTCAAGATGACTATAGGATGTGACAGTACAAAAAAGTAAGTTGTATTCCCTGTCTCACAAATAGCAAGTGTCCAAATTTTTAGTCAATTGGAATCCACAACGTAAGGGTCCACAGATGTAGGCTTTCCAGAGATTGGGCTGGGGTGGGGGGGATGTTTATCTCTGCCTAAAGAATCCTGGAGTTTTAGAAAATTAAATTTCTCACACAAAATTTGAGGAGTTTTTCTCTATGAATTTCAAGGAGGAAAGTATAGTTTGTTCTGCTATAATAATTGGTTTGAAAATGCAAATTGGTTTTAATGAAATTAAAATAACAGGGAAAATTTTGAGTATAAAATAAATTTTACTTTACAATAGTTGAACACAGAAAACTGTACTCAGGTGAACAAGTCATGTAGGAACATACAAAATAATCCACCTCAAACACCTAACAGCTAGCTATTTATGTGTACTGAGCCACATGTTCACATCTAGTGGCATTTCTACCACCTCAGGGTAGTTCACAAGTTGTAACACATCCTCCACCCACTTCCAAAAGCAAGCTGACATATTTTTATGGTGTTCATGGACTTCTTACTTAATCAATTAAAAGATTATTGCTACTGTTTTGGGTACTGTTTTATTAATTTCCTATCTTTATTTTTAAATGGGTGACTGATGAGGTTTGAATATTATAATTCCCATTTTCCCCAAAAGCCCTGATTTTTATTGCACCACTTTACATAGTAAGTACAATGATTTTTAGGAATTTACGTGTTTCATTATAGCTGAATTGACTGTACTTTTAAAGAAGCAAGCATAAATTTTCCACTATTCTTTTAATCAAGAATGTTAGAGCAATGTACTTTATGTGAAAACAATCTAATCATTTTGATTTAGTTTTCTGTTCTGCGAGGGGTTTCAACATATAGAGTTACCCTATCGAGGTACCAATTACGCATTCAAATGACAGCAGATCAGCGAGAACCACCTAAACCTACTGAGGACCAACCGAACTGTTTTCTAAGGACCACATTTTTAGCATGTGGCACACCAATTTCAAATGGCCAAATTGGGACTCTACCATTAATAACACTGCTTCATTTTTTACCTTTACCAACCCTTTTATTTACTACTTTCATAATAGCTATACATAGAATGCTTTGGTAAGATGGTGACCTTGATTGTGGATACAGAAATATAGGTGGTCACGCAGTGACAACTAAACAACATGCCAAAGACTGGAATTTGGTTTAAGTGTCAAAATCCTTTGTCATACATGAATCATTCATGTTTCAATCCAGTACTAGTAAAAAATTATTATTTAGCCTGGAATTTTAAATAATAGTATTATTTCCCTGTGATGAAAGTATTATTTCTCTGAGTTCTTCTTAGAGGCTCCCTATGAAACTTCTTGTTCAGAGTTTTCTAAGCATAAGATAAACAAAATCCTTAAAAATAACTAATTTGTTTGAGATACTTACTTTAATTTTCTCTGCTAAAGCTGAAGTTACATGGATTTCTCTTTCTCCTTCATCATACATTTGAAAAATGAGATTATGCATAACATCGCCTGCTATCCAATTAACCTCGTCCTGATGTTTAATCTGGATTGCCTTTTGTCCTTCCACACTGAATATCTGCAATCTTGCAACATGGCTACTGGGAAGCAACTTAATAGTTTTCTCCACAGGTGCCACATCTTTACAACTCTAGGAAGAGAGAGAAACCAATATATATTGAGTGACATCTGTACTTTTTGAAAATACAGTTTTTGGCTTTAATAGCAAATGTTTTATTATACTGGTGAAAAATTTATTCTAATATTATGGAAGATCATCTTACATACTATAAACATTCATAGGTTTTATAATTAATAGTGTACTACACTATTAATAATTCCATGTTTTATAACATTAAGTTATAAAGATAGTGACCACTTTAAGACCAAGACATTGGCATGTTTGGACTTAAAAGGAATCCCTCCCTTTTATTTGTAAATTTACTTAAAAATTCCCTAAACTTGTAAAATTTTATCACGTGACACGAATGTGGTGACTAACATTCATTAATAAGAACAAGGTATAAAATACCCAAAACTTTCCATAAAATCAGGGTCAAATAACTGCTGTAAAGTACATTATTTAATGATACTAAGGTTACGCTAATGCTTTTTCAATTCATTATACATTGAGGTTAAGTGGACAAGTTTGCTTATAGCTAGATAAGGACTCTAAACATCTTGAAGACTGAGTTGGCATATTTATAATTTATTATGGGCACATCTGTATTCCACAGATCAGTATGGCTGAACTGGGTTAAGCAGTATAAATTGATTTTAGGCACACGAAACTAAATATTATATCATTATTTCATAATCTAGGAATAGTGTGTTCCACAAAATAAAATTCAAAATAAGCCTAAACCTAAAACACCCCTACACTCTTCCTTAACTCATGCCTCTTTCCTCATCAGTTACAGTCATTTCTATCAAAGTCCATCCACATGAATGACATATTCAAAATTCTTACTTCAATGAATATCAGATAAATAATCCACCTTCCACCATGTACATATACTATTTACCTGACTCAAACTCAAGAGTCAATACCCTTGGATACCATTTTCTAACTGCATATTAAATGATACACTTTGGTCTTTGTCCTAATGGACCTGGATTCTCAGGTCTTCTCTCTGTTGCTGCCCTGTATTATTTACATAATACCTAATAATTTGTTATTCTTGCTTCAAAGCCCAGATTCCTCCCTAAATCCAAATCTTTTCTTTCTGACCTTTTGCACAATAGTGTTCTCAAAATATTTTGGCTGTATTATTGAAATGGGAAAATGCATAACAAATTATCTGAAGATTATCAAAAACAACCAGTTTGAAAAAAATAATTAGAATAAAGTCATCTCATTCTAATTACAAACGATAAAAGTTGTCTTTTACCCTTTTGAGGCTCAAGATGTTATGTGATGTATAATTAAGTAAAAATATATCAGTCAAATGGAATTAGGTTATCCACCATCTACTATCAATTATAAAGAAATCACATTTAACATTTAAGTATTTTACTTAAGTAGTTGTTATTCATTCAGAAACCTTAGGAGATCAATTGTTTATATCCCGCTGGCTTCACCTTCAGCTATTATGTATACCCAATAAAAAGTATCCTACTGGCACATTAACATATAAATCTCTATGAGAATACTAAATAATAATCAGTTTATTTTTTAAATTACACATACAAATTAAATGTTTATAGTTCTTCAGTGGTAGTTTAAGTGGAAATATTTACCAAACTATCTAAGAAATAACTATAAACTATAAAAGAAACTGACCCATAAATGTCAAATTTTTACATAAGAGCAAATCAATTTTAGGAATGTGTAAATCAATGTTTCAGATATAAAGTATCATGCATCCTCTTTTCCCCTTTGGCTAAAAGAAATGCAAATACCTCCCTTTTAAGAGTCAACCAACTTTACAGAATTTATAAACTTCTTAAAGAATATTTGTATGAAGACTCAATATAATTCCAATGAATAACAATAACAACTTACAGGTATTTCAATTTTAGCTTTCAGCGTCTGGTCTTTTTTGATATTTTGAACTTGAATTGCAGATCCTGATAAAATACTGGTTCCAGAACTACTACAATCCACAGTGTAGAGTGGAAGGTTAGGAGCACCTGAAAACTATTAGAAGCATAAAAAATAAAGTAAGCCTTCATTAATGTAACTGATTATTATTAAATAATGGTTATTTAAATTTTCAAGTACTTCACTACAGCTGTTTCTGGCTATAAGTTAGAAAATTCTAAGTAGAATTCACTAATCCTCTAGCAAATTTCTGAATGAAGAGTTAATTTTCTATACTTTTAAGTAAAATTTATCTGTTTTAGAAGAAAATCTAACTTCCTCGACAACTATACTTTCTTTTCTACTTTATAAGCTATTTGAGTTTTCCTTTCCTTTTTGTGGTTTTAGTCATCTTCATTTATCCATCCATCCCCAATCCTGAAGGACATTTCCATCATTCTATTCATAAATTAAATACTTCATCTGAAATGAGGTTTGAAGAGAGAAATCTTTAGTTCATAACTTCTTTATGAAACTTGGCATAGCTGGCATCTTTACTGGCTTAGGGATCCTGAAAACTATTGGCAATGAGATATCCCACAAATTTCTCCATGGAATAATTGTTAAAGACCTAGATAATATAGAAGGCTTACTATAAAGCACCTGAAAGATAGTCATTTTCATTTACTACAATGGGACTCAAAATAAAATCTACATATTTTTTATCTTACAGTAGCTTACCTTACAATGAACAACCAATTTTGGTTGTGCTGTTATGTTGTCTGATTCATCCAAAACTTCTACCTGAAATGGGAAAGCTGTTCCATTCTCTATAACTAAAATTTCAGAATCAGGTTTTACTTTCAATCGATGAGGGGGACCTAAAAGGAAATCAAATAATGAAATACAGATTCAAGTTTGTAAAACTGAAATATTGAAATGGCAAAAGAAACAATTTTCAGTATTTTGAGTTTTAATATTTTATAAATAATGCTGAGAAAAAACTAAGGAATATCCATGTTTTATTATTTTTACCCCCCAAATGCATAGATTCTATATATGACCAGGGTTGTCCTGATTATATAAAAATGTTTGATGTCTAGACTTAGTTTTATGCAACAAGCTACGACACAGTGATAACTCATGCCAGAAATCACCTGTTTATGTAAATTCTTTAGAAGATCCAGGAAAAAAAGGATTCAAGAAGAAAAGTAAAAGTTTATTAAACTACTTTTTTATTTACTAACTTGAACTTTATACAATGACTAATTTCTCAGGGACATGTAACTAGATGTCTGTTTTGTATAATAATGTTCAAAGGCTCAGTTCATGTAACGATATAATCAGACAATTTGTTAGATTGCCCACTACTTTGCTATCATAAGCAAATTACAACACAAGCTTCCTCTAAGATTAAAAGAAGAGGGTTCACACTTCTGCAACAAGATGACTTGCTGTGCTTTATAAACACTAATATTTTAAAATTCAACTTTGTTTAATGCTGGTAATGCATGTTTACAAAGTTACTAGAAAATACTTATTTTCTAGTTTCTAGTTTCTATAACTACTTAGTTTCTGTAACTAGTTTCTAGTTACAGTTACTAGAAATACTTATTTTACTTTATAATATTATTAGTTAATACTTTTTACTATATGCCAGGCAATATGTTGAATTTTAATTAAGTACTATTCTCATATAACCCTTGCAATGATCTTAATAAAGAAGTTAATATTATTGTCCCCAATTTATAGATGAGTAAACTGAGACCCAGAGAGATTAAGTATCTTGTCAAATGGCTAGTGAGCAGCAGACTCAAGTTTAAGTTCTGGTTTAAAATTTGAAACCTGTTGATCACTAATCACTATACAGTGCTACTTCCTACTTTATCCCTTTCCCTCTCAAATTCCAAAAAAATGTCAAAACCATTTGGTTACTAAGAACTTCACTACTCCAATACATATTTCTTACCAACTTCTAAAATAATAGCATTATAAATGTTTATTAATATGTGATGATTTTTATCATACTTTATTATACTAATATACCAATTTTTACACCTTATCAATCCATGCTTGAAGGGAATTTTTGAAAAAAATAGCTAGTAAGTTTCTTTTCACTTAAAACTGGTACAAAAGGTCATATATGGATAAAGATGTAATCATAGTATTGTTAACATCAGAGCTAAAACTTATATCCCAAGCACTGTTCTAGGCATTTTACAAGCTCATGCAGTTCTCACTTTGAGCAGTACTGTGTTAATAATTCATGCACACTGGAACTTTGTCCTCTGTTCAGTTACCACAGAACTGTGCAAAGTGAGGGTTGCCTATGTTAATTCATTTAATCCTCACAACTCTGAAAATAAATATTCTTATTTTACACAGGAAGAAACGGACACATAGAACAAATTTACCTAGCTCATTAATGTTAGCTTTGATTCAAATGCAAAAGGGCTGAGTCTAGAATATACTCTCTGAAGCTCTAAAATAGACTGCCTCTCCAAGTAGCCAACATTTGCTACCCAGTGTAACTTTAATGTAACTTCATTTTCAAATTGATGTCATTATCAAATTAACAACATAAATAGATGAGAAACTTTCTTAAAATATGAAATAATTTTCTTCTGATAATATCAAATATGAAATCAAAAACGGTAAAGGACTGATCTAGTCCTAATATAAGCCTAATAAGTATAGCCCTGAAAATAGTTCCCAAATACATTTTCAATATTCACTTTTTTCTCCCAAGGTTATTTTTATAACTTCACTAATGTTTTCCTCGTGTTTTCCTGTTTCTTAATTGGTCATTTCGGTCAGTGCTATGTTATACATTCATATGTATTTTCAAAACTTACACCATAATATCTTACCTTTATATTCATATCATACATTATTATAAGAGTTTTATTTAAAAGGTAAGTATTAGGTATATTTCTTAAAGTATTACCTGGTAGTAATCTAATTTTCAAAATCTGTGAGTCTTCTTTTAAACCCGGAAGAACAACCTTCAGATTAAAATTCTGTAGAAATAATCAAATCCAAGTATTATGTAAATATTTAAGTATTTTATCACCTCAATTTGATTTATTTTGCTTTTTATTTTCATACCATTAAAGAAATCTACTTAGCAATTTTGTAATGACTGAATTATATACATGTATGTAAGGAATGGAGGTAAAAATATTGACATTGCTTCTTTTTTTTTATAGTTTTTTTTTATTGATTATGCTGTTACAGTTGTTCTATTCCCCCTTTATTCCCCTCCACCCTACCCCCCATCCCCACCATCACCCCCCCTTTAGTTTATGACCATGTGTCTCAAGTCCTTTAGATTCTATATTTCCCATGCTATTCTTGCCCCCCCATCTATTTTCTATCTACTGTCTATGCTACTTATTTTCTGTACCTTCTCCCCCCCTTCTCCTCCTCCCACTCCCCTGTTGCTAACCCTCCTTGAGATCTTCATTTCTATGTTTCCACTCCTGATCTAGCTGTCCTTTTAGTTTGCTTTCGTTTTAGGTGTGGTTGTTAATAACTGTGAGTTTGTTGTCCTTTCACTGTTCATGTTTCTTTAACTTCTTTTTCTTAGATAAGTCCCTTTAATGTTTCATATAATAAGGGCTTGGTGATGATGAACTCCTTGAATTTGATCTTATCTGAGAAGCACCTTATCTGTCCTTCCATTTTAAATGAAAGTTTTGCTGGATAGAGCAATCTTGGTTGTAGGTCTTTAGATTTCATGACTTGGAATACCTCTTTCCAGCCCCTTCTTGCCTGTAAGGTCTCTTTTGAGAAATCCGCTGACAGTCTGATGGGGACTCCTTTGTAGGTGACTGTCTCCTTAGCTCTTGCTGCTTCTAGGATTCTCTCCTTCATTTTAATCTTGGCTAATGTAATTACGATGTGCCTTGGTGTGTTCCTTCTTGGGTCCAACTTCTTTGGTACTCTCTGAGCTTCCTGGATTTCCTGGAAGTCTATTTCCTTTGCCATATTGGGGAAATTCTCCTTTATTATTTGTTCAAATAAGTTTTCCACTGGTGGCTGTGCCTTTCCCCCTTCTGGTACCCCTATAATTCGGATGTTGGAGCGTTTAAAGATGTCCTGGAGGTTCCTAAGACTCTCCTCATTTCTTTGAATTCTTGCTTCTTGACTCTTTTCTGTTTGGCCATTATTTGCTTTCTTCTGGTCCACTCCATTGATTTGAGTCCCAGTTTCCTTTTCATTGCTATTGGTGTCCTGTGCAATTCCATTCATTTCAATTAGTTTCGCCTTCATATATTTGTCTAATTTGTCCGTATAATCAACCAGTTCTGTGAGGATCCTGATGACCAGTGTTTTAAACTGTGCGTCTGTGAGTTTTGCTATTTCTTCATCGCTTAGATTTATTGGCTCTGGGGCTCTGAGATCCTCCTGCGCCATTCTTGGTCTGTTCGGGCCCTTTAAGTGTGAGAAGCGGCGCCTTGGATTCCCAGGTCGCTGGGTTGTGACGCTGTATGTGGGGGCGTGGCCAAAGCGGGGAAATGGCGACCCCCTCTGCCGCTTCTCACAGCTGGGTGCGGAGGAGCAGTGCCTTAGGTGGTTCACCTGGGCCGGGCCACTCAGAGTCGCTGGGTTATGACGCTGTATGTGGAGGTGGCGTCAGAGCAGGGAAATGGCGGCGCCCTGACATTGCTTCTTTACAGACAATAGGTTCTTCAGATTTATAAGGCATAACCATGAATGATCACCAAAATCAGGATGGACATGATAAAAAATATAAGAAAATAGTCATGTGAAAGAAACAATCTAAAAATCTCCAAATACAACATAGTATTCTGGGTTAGATCCAGGAACAGGGGAAAAAACACACTAGTGAAACAAACTGAAAACATGTAAATATAGTCCATGGTATTGTTAAGAGTAGTGTATCAATGTTCATTTCTTAGTGTGGATAAATATAGGATGGTTACATAAGACGTTCATAAAGGAAGCTGGGTAAAGAGTATATGTGAACTCTGTGTACTATGTTTCTAACTTCTATAAACATAATGTTATTCCAAAATAAAAAGTTTTTTATAATCTAGAAATGTTTTTGGTAAGTTTATCTCACAATCATCAAACTTCCCACGAATTCAAGTTCTTAGTTCAAGGAAATATGGATTCAAAAAGATACACAAAACTTTATCTTTGATTTGATTATACACTGAAACAGAGTAAACAGTACTTAAATTCACATATTCTATTTTAAACATCATTTTGAGAGGAAAAAATTTAAATATATTGAAGGTGATGATACAGTGAAAAAAAGTAAGATTACTTAAGTTATTATCCACAGTGTTTCCTTTAGTCATATAAATCTATTAGCTGCTTTACATACCTAATTAAAAAATTACCTGATTGGAGTTTATGGTTTTACTTTCCCTAACCCAATATGTTTACACAAATGAGCTAAAATTTTTCATGTATTTGTTTCTAAGAATACAAAAAGGATGGAAAGAGAAAAGTGGGTACTAGAAACACTGGGTGAACACTTCATAAAGTCTGTGATTGCCTAATCATTATGCTGTATACCTGAAACCAATACAAAATAATATTAAAAGTAAACTGTAATTCAAAAAACTCTTTTAAAAAGAAATTATATAGTACTGGATAACTATTGAAAAATGGCTTTGAATGTGAAAAGACTGAAATAAAGATAATACAGTTGAAAATATTTAATTAACAGTAGCAAACATGATCTTTCTTAGAGATGTAAATGGTAAGTCGGGTAACATGATCCTCATTAATTCCTAAAAATCCAATATCACAGTCACCTTGTTACAAAAACTGGTTATTCAATTTTAAATTTACAATTTAATTTTTAGTACATAATAACCACGTACTGTAACATTTATGTATAACGCTTACCTTGCCTTGACAAGAGTTTACAAGGCCCTTAGCTGTAACACCTCGAATTACACAATTTGGTCCCTTGGTTAGTTCTTCATATTGTAAAGATAAACCACTGGAAAAAAAATAAATTAGTCTGTAACTTCCCCTCTATTACCTACAAATAAGCTGTAAAAGTGATTTGTTTTCTCATATACCATTAGTATGTTTGTTTTTTAAAACTAGTATTTTTAAAAATAGGAAGAAATAACTGAACAGAAAAGCAAATTCATATGAATTTCTTTTCCACAGAAAGATGATCTAACAAGTATTAGTAAGTGATACCAATAAGCCAAACACTGCAAATGATATATGTACTATAAAATGCAAGTCTTCATACATTGAAATAGTAAAGATACAAAGTAGGAAATAAGCAAATGCTAACCATGCATACAGTCCTGGAGAAAAATCCAAATAGGCCAGGTTTAAGCATTTCTTCAGACTTTGCCATAGATACTTGCCGATCTTTCACTGAATGGGATTTTAGAGGATTTTTGCCACCTATTAAACTGAATGCCAAATATAGATGGTGTCCAAAAATGAAGTACAGCCTTGTAAGGATGTAATCTTGTAAGAATATACACTGAGATACCTAATTTACTGCTATGGGCAATCTGATTTCTAAATCATTTTTGAATATGTGGAGATCCTTACAGTGTAAACCTTTTACTCTGTCAAGGGGTAAGGTGAGGAAAAAAGAAAAAGTATAGTGTGATAAAGAAAAAGCCCCTAATTTGGGGAAAAAGGCGGGACAACTGTAACTGAACAAAAAAATTTAAAATTAAAAAAAGAAAAAGCCTAATTTTTCTGAAGAATGAAATTTAAGTATTTACTAGTATTTCTGAATGAATTTTGAAGATTAAACAATGTGCTTTTGGGGGAAGGAAGGAAGATGTAAAACAGGATACAAAATAAAAAAGACTCCTGGGGGGAAATGGCACATTAAAGGCACACAGCTGTTTTCACTATCTCATAAAACTTCAGAAATATGACAACAAATACTGCTTTTTTCTCTTCTCTTCTTTATTTTATTTATTTATTTTTAGAGAGAGGGGAAGGGAGGAAGAAAGAGAGGGAGAGAAACATTAATGCATGGTTGCCTCTTGAGCGCCCACTACTGGGGACCTGGCCTGCAACCTGGGTATGTGCCTTGACTGGGAATCAAACCAGTGACCCTTAGTTCACAGGCCAAAACACAATCCACTGAGCCACACCAGCAGGGCAAAGAGTTCTTTAATTTACTGTTAAAGATAATGAGGAAAGGAAGAAAAGGACAAAACTTTCTAAAACACAGGACTGAAAGTAGTAAATGACCTAATAGTCTCAAATACAACAACAATAACAACAACAAAAACCAGCAAAAACCTAAACCCTGAAACAGCAACAGAAAAAGCTAGAAACCAATCTATACCACAGAATTCCCAGGTACCACTCAGATACTCACTTTTAGAGGTATTATGTATTTCTAAAAGTGAGGTCAAAAGAGAAGGACAAAATAAATAGAAGTAACTAAAAAAATAAATGTGCAACTTTGTATCCTCATATCTCCCCTCTCTGTCTCTGGCAGATGGCTAAAAGGTTATTATCTGAAAAAAGCCTAAAGCAGACACTCTCTGAACCAAGGGAAAGCATGTAAGTTGAAAAAGAGGGTAAAATACTAAAAAAAAAAAAAAAGTGTTAAGAGGTAATCTTGAATAAATGTATATAGATGCTGAGACTTTCCTATACCCATACTTATCCCAGCCTTGTTACTGGATGAGTTAACCTGGACAGCCAAACTATTCCCTTCCAGGCAAGAAATTAAAGATTTTTCTTCAAGAAAATAGTCCAACCCAAGAAAAAAAGACCTAAAGATACTGACAATAGTATTTCTCCCCAAGAAAGTGTTACAGACAGATCATCCTATAGCAAAGTTCATGGTCAACAGCATCTCCTACATGCCAAGTCTCCTATCTGCAGTTTAGTTCTCCACTCAATTACAAGCAGATGACCAATGATTACCTGAAGGAAAGATATCTGAAGGAAAGAGATGAAAAACCAACATAAAACAACTAACTTGGAGAAAACAGAGATTATATATGTATGTGAAGTTTTATTTACATTTTTAAAATAAAAAGGTGATCTACAAAAGAACATTCAGAAAACCAGGAAGAACTCTTGGAAACTAAAAGTATCACAGAAAAGAAAAACTCAATGGAAAAGTTATAAAGCTAAGAAAAATCTGTCAGAAGCTAAAGCAGAAGAAATACAAAAAGATCAAGAAAAATAAAAAAAATTAAGAAAATCAGAGAACTAGTCTGGAATGTTCAATATCAAATAAATAAGAATCCCAGAAAGACAAAACAGTGATAATAAAAGGTACAGAATAAAGTATTGAGTTGGCCAAGAAGTTCTGTTTGGTTTTTTCTATATGATGACTCTAGTAGTGCTTAGTTGTCTTTAACTTCATTCCAAACAATTTTGTTAGACTGTATTGTGACAGGTGTCACATCAGCATGCATCTTTAAAAATCTTAGCACAATTGGTAAATTTTTGTGTTGCCATTACAGTACTGAAGATGGAAGAAAATACACATTTTTGGCATATTATGTTTTATTATGTCAAGAAAGGTAAAAAATGCAACTGAAACATAAAAATAAAAGATTTGTGCAGTGTACAGAGAAGGTGCTGCAATTGATCAAATGTGTCAAAAGGGTTTGTGAAGTTTCGTGATTTCTTAATGGACGATGCTCCACAGTGGGGTAGACCAGTTGAAGCTGACAGCGATCAAATCAAGACATTCCTTGAGAACAATCAACATTATACCAAGGGGGAGAGAGCTGACATACTCAAAATATCCAAATCACTAATGTAATTGGAGAAAATAAAAACTGTGCCTTTTATTTTATGGGATAAAAATAAGAACTTTTTGGCCAACTGAGTACTTCAAATAATGAAGAGATCTATACAGACATGTATTGCTACAAAATTTTGCCCTGTTAAGAATAAAAAGTAAATCCTGTAAGCATCCAGAAACAATACATAGAAAAAATAAAAGGGAAAATTAATCAAGTTTAAATTTATCAGCAAGAGTGAAAACTCAAAGGCAGAAATGGAGCAATGCTTTCCCAATTTTGACAGGAAACAGTGCCCACTTTTCAATTTAATAAATCCAGTATCACAGGGGGTTGGGCTGGGATAGGGGTAAAAGGCAGAAAACTATACCTGAACAACAATTAAAATAAAATAAAATTTAAAAATAAATCAAGTATCAGGGTAGAATGAAGAGCAATAATTTTATTCCCTATGTCCCCTTTCTTAGGAAAACAGTGAAGGATGTCCTTCAGCAAAAGGAGAGGGACATGGGATTCTTTTTAAAAAATGGGGGATCCATGAAACGTTAAATGCTAAATAGGCTACTTCAAAGGTTCACGATTCAGGAATATTTCCTCAGAAACCTCAGATCTATCTCTCTGAAGTGTTATCATTAAAGAAGACAAAGCCCTGTCTCCCCATTTCTTGGGCCTAACTTACAGTTGGCTGTTTCCAAATTTCAAACCCTATATCCAGACAAAGACATTCTGCAATTTATCTTGAAAATATGAATAATGTTTTAACAATACTGAGAGTAAGATTTCCTACTGTCTTTGCAATCTCTTTATCAAATTGCCTAAGATGAGCATCATATTCTACCTTAATGTTTATTCAAAAACAAAATTATTTTATTTGTCCAAGATTACAGATCATAACTGTTAATAAGCCTAAAAACAACTGATTTAGACTGGAACACAAGTCCCAAGAGAGATGTCTCCAAGCATCTGAAACTAATAGATTATCTATGCACCCAAACATCTTAAGAGACCAGACAACTGGCACAAAACTTAGGGAGTAATTTGTAATAAACTTAGCAAAGAAAAAGTGTAACAAGAACAAATAAAGAAAGTGACTCGCATTTATATTTACCTACAATAAAATAAACACTAAATACTGATCAAGACAGAATATAACTTTACTGAAGAAAGAAGGAATAGGAAAAAAAGGCTTGTTTGTAATAGAAATGGTATCAAGAGAGTTACAGTCTCATCTTTCACCATAAATCAACAGATGTTTAAAACTACAAAAAAAGAAATCAAGAAGTAGCAATATAAACTTACTTAGAAATAATTCTTTTTCGTTACTAAAAGATTTAAGTGCAAAAGTTGACAGTGGTTCGCTTCTTGAGATGTGGATTATGGATCAGTAGAGAGGGCACAAAAAGGAGGAAGTACTCTTTTTTATAACAAGCTTTATTAAAAAGTTTGATTCTTTAGGTAGTATGTGTGAATAATTTTTAAAAATGTAAATAGTGCTAAAAAAATCCCCAAGCAAACAAAAGAACTCCATGAGAAACCCACTCAAATAATGGTCATACTTTTTAGAGATAATTCACATAGCCGTGCCACCCAGAATTTTTAAAGTCCAAAATCTTAAGTATATGTGACAATATATATGTGACAGAGACTTCATATATAATATCCTATTAAGAATAAGATGGATCCCTGGCTTGATAGCTCAGTTAGTTAGACTGTCATCCCGACATGCCAAGGTTGTGGGTTCAAATGCTGGTCACAGCACATACAAGAATCAAGCAGTGAATGTATAAATAAGAGGAACAACAAATCCATCTCTCTCTTCTACCCCCCCTTCCTTCCCCTCTCTCTAAACTCAATCATATAGAATTTTTTTAAAGAATAAGATGGAAGTTATAACTGGCTATAGCTGTGAACTAATACACTGATATTTCCCATTTGTGACTAGATGGGATTCTTTTTAGTGTTTTAATTTTGAATAAACGTGTTTAAGTACACTAAATAACATGGGCTTCAACTGTGCAGTTACACTTATGTGCAGATTTTTATTTTTATTTTATTTATTTATCTTTAGAAGGGAAGGGAAGGAGAGAGGGAGAGAAATATCAATGTATGGTTGCTTCTCCTGTGTCCCCTGCTGGGAACTGGCTTGCAACCCAGGCATGTGCCCTGACTGGGAATCGAACCACGATCTTTTGGTTCACAGGCCCACGCTCAATCCACTGAGCTACACCAGCCAGGGCTCAGATTTTTAAAAATAAATACTGTAAATGTAATTTTATCTTCTTTATGATTTTAACATTTTCTTTTTTCAAGCTTACTTTTTGGAAAGAATAGAGTAATAATACATATGATATCCATAATATGTGTTAATTGACTGTTTGTTATTGGTGAGACTTCTATTTAACAGGTCACTGTCAGTTAAGTTTTGGGGGAGTCAGAAGTTAAATGTGAATTTTTGATAGTCCAAGAGCTGGCAACTCTCATCCTGCCATTCAAGGTTCAACTGTATTCAACTCTTTCACTTCCATTACTGCTTCACATTCAAATAAATGTGAGATGTCAAAAACTAGAATCACTTTTGCAAACTAAGAGAATATAAAACTAAAAAATTCATTTAGAATATTTTTTATACCTATGTATTACTTTTCAGTAAGTTAACCATGGTATAAATCTAGACACTAAAATTATCTTCACCAATCTATGAGCTTCCAGAAGGTAAATACAATGTCTTTATTCACTTCCATATCTCCAGTTAGCAAATGCCTGGAATACAGTACATGTTCAAATGATGAAAGAGGAAACAATTATAGCACAAGGAAAAAATAGATACAAACAACAAAAGAAAGCATACAGAAAAAGTAGGCCTAGAAAGACAAATATGGCAGCCAATGGAAAAATGAAATCCAACCATCATGCTCATGCTCTTTAAACTGATCAAGAATTTCTTCCTAGGCACCACAAAAAGAAGTAATGGAAAATACTGAACTTCCTTAATGACATCACTGGACACACTGTTAAATTTCTAAGAGCTATTTCTTTGTATAAGCCAATCATATCACTCTAAAGGACTATTAGGTAAAATTCTAAGGAATGACTCAAATTTGCAGAGAATGTATATACTTTGTTGTTATAGATTTTAAAACAAACCAAAATAAATTGCATTAAGTTAAAAATCAACTAAGCAGTATCTTTCAGTTTAAATGGCCACAGTTTACAAGCAAACGACCACAAAATAAACATGTTATAATTAACAATGAATTACTAGGAGACATATCATACTTGCCAAAAGAAATGGAGTAAAAAAGACAGAGCTATCAGGATTACCTAAACAACGTTAACAGTAATTCAGTCCAAACATAAACTTTAGCAGGTCAATTTATACATGACCCCATAGTCACATACGATATAGGCTGGGCATAAATAAATCCCCCAGATATCATAAAAACCTACGCATTTTAATGATAATACTGAAGGTAACTACAAAATATTTAAGGGAAAAAAAGAAAAGAAGTAATACTTAGCAAATATAGACAGTCAAATACAAATTGATATTTCAAATTACCTTGCTTCAAGAACAGGCTGAATATCATTTATTAGTTGAGTAGTATGACCAAATTCATCCTGAAATTCCAGAGGAATACTGAATGGAACTCCAATGCGAAAAGGAGAATCCAGAAGACCAAATGAAAATTTCTCTGGCTTACCCTCTTAAAAAAAAAAAAAGTAGAAATAAAATTCATTGTAGATCAGAAACAGACTCATTTATATATGGGAAAATAAATGATGATAAAGATGGCATTTTAAATTTATTAAAAAATTACACAATTTATAATCCACTTGGGAAAATAATAGTTAGACCTCTATCTCATATCATACATAAAAGTAAAATTCTAGAATGAGATAATATAATAAAGAATATGCTTATAACCATATCATAGGAAAAATAAGGCAAAACATTACTAAACACATTATAGGTATAAAGAGATTTATTTGATGAAGTTTAAAATATCTCATTAGATACAATAAACAAAGTTAAAAATCCTATATGAGAAAATATTTGCAACACATTCAACATAGGATTAAAACCCAGAATACATAAAGCCTCCTCTAAACCAGGTGTTCTCCAAAAGTCATCTCTGGTCTAACAGTTTCAGCCATTTCTGTTAAATTACTAGAAATGCAAATCCTCTTGTAAGTTAGATCATATGGTATTTGCCTTTCACCAATTGGCTTATTTCAGTTAGAGGAATCTAATGAACAAAATAAACTAATGAGTAACACAGAACCAGAGGTACAGAATCATGGAAGAGACAGATAGCTGTAAGAGGGGAAGAGGAAAGTGGGAACTGTTTAAAAGAAGGTGAAGAGACTAGTCAAAGAACATATATGAAGGACCCAAGGACAACTGTGTGGGACTGACTACGGAAGTGGGTGGGGGTCGGCTGCGCAGAAGAGGGTGAAGGTGGAAAAAATTGGGACAACTGTAATAACATAAACAATAAAACAACAACAACAAAGGACAACAGTTACCGAATTTGAAATCTGGAGAATGTATAGTTAAGTGTCACTGACTTGTTGTAGGAAGACCCAAGAACCTCAAGTCCTCATTCACAGCAAAGTAAGGAGAGAATAATCTAATTCACTCTATAGGACACCCAAAGTCTCGGGAATGGTTGTTATGAAGGAGTGAAAGTGAAATAAAAAAGGAAGACCTGCTGAAGTCTAAGAAACAGTTTCACAGATCGCCACCCCTCAATATACAAAGCCAGTTGGCTGCCTCCCTCAGCCCCAGCAATAGATGGGGAAGACACAGTCTGGGGAAGATAAAAAAAATAGGTCTAAGAAGTGAGGGAAATATCACTACCAAAAGTGTTCTCTAAGTTACTAAAAATAGGAAAATAAGTAAAATATTATTTACTCAATGTGAAACCCTTCAACAATCTTCCCCAGCATGGCTTCCAAAACATTGGCAGCCAGGTATTTACCCTCCTAAAAAGAGACTGGAAGTCTCCACTCCGGGGAATCTGAAAAAAGACAGAAAAACCTAAAAATTTCCATACTATAATCTGCTTGAACAAAAGCTTTCAAATGTTCTATTCTCAAATGTGAGCAGTCATGTAAGACAGTATCTAATATGAAAGACCCAAAGTAAATACAAATAAAAATCAACATGAAGGGAAACAAACCACAAATGAAGAAAGTTTAAAAGCTTCAAGAAGCCCTGGCTGGGTAGCACAGTTGGCTAGTGTCATTTGGATAAATCAAGGTTTTGAGTTTAATCCCCAATCAGGGCACATACAAGAATCAACAAATGAATGCCTAAATAAATGCAACAATGAACTGATGTTTCTCTTTCTGCCTCCCCATCTCCCTCCCTTCCTTTCTCTTCCTCTCTCTAAAAATCAATATTTTAAAAAGCTTCAAGAAAAACCATCACTGATATTAACATAAAATCGGAGCAGGAAAAAAACCCCTCAATACAGAGACTTCTGGCCAATACGGAGACTTCTGGAGGTATAGGGACACATGCCATGCCTCCTCACACAACCAAAAGAAGGAGACAACAACAATTTAAAAACAAAAAACAACCAGAACTGACAGAAAACCAAACTGTATGGAAGTAAGACAACAAAGGAGTTAAAGAAGACACATTCATCCACTTCCCCCACTTCCCACCAGCAAACTGGTAGAAGGGGTGGAGATAGGCAGCTGGGCAGAGAGGACTTATGGCAAGACAGCGGCTGGTGGACCTAGGGATGCGGCAGATTGTGGACTGGGGGGTCCTACATTCGTTCTCAGATAAACTGGGAGAAACAGCAGGGGAGCAGGACAGACTGCAAGGGGAAATAAAGCCTCAAACCACTGATGGAAAACATCTGTAGGGGTTGAGACAGCAGCAGGAGAAACTCCCAGATTCACAGAAAAGTTTATTGGAGAGACCCACAGAGTGATAGAACATACATAAACCCACCCACATGGAAATCAGCACCAGAAGGGCCCAATTTGCTGGTGGGAAGTGGGGGAAGTGACTGAAATGTGGCAGAGAGTGGAACAGGTGCCACTGTTCCCTCTCGGACCCCTGCATCACATATAGTGTCCCAACCCACCTGATGAACACCTAAGGCTCCGCCCCTTACTATGTAACAGGTGCATCAGGACAAAAAAAAAAATGGCCCAAATGAAAGAACAGATCAAAGCTCTAGAAAAATTACAACTAAGCAATGAAGAGATAGCCAACCTATCAGATGCACAGTTCAAAACATTGGTAATCAGGATGCTCACAGAACTGGTTGAGTTTGGTCACAAATTAGATGAAAAATGAAGGCTATGCTAAGTGAAATAAAGGAAAATGCACAGGGAACCAGTAGCAATGGGAAGGAAACTGGGACTCAAATCAACGGTATGGACCAGAAGGAAGAAACAACCAACCAAACAGAAAAGAATGAAGAAACAAGAATTCAAAAACATGAGCAGAGGCTTAGGAACCTCCAGGACATCTACAAACATTCCAACATCCGAATTGTAGGGGTGCTAGAAGGGGAAGAGCAACAGCAACTAGTGGAAAACTTATTTGAACAAAAATAAAGGAGAACTTGCCCAATCTGGCAAAGGAAATAAACTTCCAGGAAGTCTGGGAAGCTCAGAGAGTCCCAAAGAAGTAAGATGCAAGGAAGAAAATACCAAGGCACATCATAATTACATTACCCAAGATGAAAGATATGGAGAGAATCCTAGAAGCAGCAAGAGATAAGGGGACAGTCACCTACAAAGGAGTTCCCATCAGACTGTCAGCTGATTTCTCAAGACACCTTACAGGCAAGAAGGGGCTGGAAAGAAGTATTCCAAGTCATGAAAGGCAAGGACCTACATCCAAGATTGCTCTATCCAGCAAAGCTTTCATTTAGAATGGAAGGGCAGAGAAAGTACTTCTCGGATAAGGTCAAGTTAAAGGAGTTCATTATCACCGAGCCCTTATTCTATGAAATATTAAAGGGACTTATCTAAGAAAAAGAAGATAAAAAATACGAACAGTAAAATGACAGCAAACTCACAATTCACAACCACACCTAAAGCAAAAACAAAAGCAAACTAAGCAAACGCTAGAACAGGAACAGAACCACAGAAATGGAGATCACATGGAGAGTTGTCACCATGGGGGTGGGGGGAGGTACAGAGAATAAGTAGCATGGATAGTAGGTAGAAAATAGAAAGGGGGAAGGTAAGAAAAGCATAGGAAATATAAAAGCTAAAAAACTTGTGACACATGGACATGAACTAAAGGGGGGGAATGTGGGTGGGAGGGGGTGTGCAGGGCAGAGGAGAGTGAAGGGAGAAAAATGAAATAACTGTAATAGCATATTCAATAAGATATATTTTTAAAAAATTCAATACAAAGTATAGAACATCATGTTAAGAGAATTTCTCAGAGTAGAAAATTAAAACCGAGATGTAAACAACAAAAAAACAATACCAGTACATCAGTCAAGAGGTCCAGCATCTAATATCAGCTGTTGTAGAAAGACAGAGTAGGATATCAAAGTAACTCAAGGAAAATTCTTAGAATTTAAAATTTCATAATTAACACAAAAAAACCAGATTCACCAAATATACGGGTGTTGGAAAAGAGGGGATCACATACGAAGGTGAGGAATCGGAGTAGCTTTAGACTTTACCAGCAACAACGAAAGTTAGAAAACAATGATGTCTTCGAAATTCAGAAGAAATATAATTGTCCAGAAGAATTACAAGGTCCCTTTAAGATCAAAATAGTTACACAATTCCTTGAATATCTTTTACTAAATTATCTATTCTTTCTTAACTTAAAATTCCACCTTTAGCATATAGTTATGTATTAGTGCTTTGCTTACCTTTAACAGAAAATTTAATTGCTTTAGATGGTAGTGGTCTTCCAGCATAAGTGTCTGCATTACTTTCATTCAACACAACTTGTAATTTCAATGTATAAGACCCCAACTTCTGAATATTTTCTGGAAAAATTAAGAAGATATTCTAAATCTTCTCAATAGCATAATATTGATATAATTTTTAAAAATGTTTATTTATTTATCTTCAGAGGGGAAGGGAAGGAGAGAGGGAGAGAAATAGCAATGTATGGTTGCCTCCCATATGTCCCCCGCCAGGAACTGGCCCGCAACCCAGGCATGCGCCCTGACTTGGAATTGAACTGTGATCCTTTCATTCATAGGCCCATGCTCAATCCACTGATCTACACCAGCCAGGGCTGACATAATTTTTAACATTCAGAGTAACTCACCCATTTTTTTAAACCAGTAAGGCCATTTTCCTCCATGTTGACTAATATGTGAAATGATTTCTTTATTTCCACTTGAAGCTTAATAAAAAAAAAAAGAGAAGGATTTATATCTGTGAAACTGAATATAGAACATGAATATAAAATGTAAAATAGCATCAAATATTTCTTTTATGCTGTAACGTTAAAAAATTATTTTGAAACATTGAAAGATCTAAAGCTATCTCCATGCGTGAATAGCATATAAAAATTTACTCATTCCATTCACTAAATTCCTTTCTTTCAATTCTTAAAAATTATCTGTAAATAAGTTTAAATAGGGCAATCAAAAGAATACAGAAATATATTTTGATTAATATTAAATTTATTTTAATAAATTTATTTTCCTTAAAAGTTTTTTTCAATATTAAAAGACCATTTCTTATGTACATAGAATAATCTCTAAGCTCTAGAGATCCACTGTTAAGAGAAAAAAAGCAAGGAGTAAAAACATTTATGTACATAAAATAGTCTATTTTGTAAGGAAGGGAAATACAAATACATTGGTGCTTGCTTATAATTAGAACAGGAAAAACAGGAAAGATAAGCCAAAAACTAACAAAGTTTCAACCTAAAGAAGGAAGAAGAAAATACTAGAGGAATAAGATCACTTCTGTGAAATATCCCTTATTATTTTTGACTTAGGAATTACACTAATGATGTAAATACTTAAAAACAATTAAAATAAAAGCAATTCATAAACAAAACCAAAATGTATGTCATGTAGGTAACATGACATTAAAAAGATTATTTTGAGTGACATTAGGATTTTTTTTTATAATTTATACAGAGAGATATATTTTAAGTACAGAGTTGCAAAGAAGTCAAACCCAATCCAATAGTCTTATTAGTAGTAATAGTATTATTATTTTGAAATTATTTAAGTATATTGTGGGATCAAGCAAATAAGTAATTTCTAACGCTGTAATGAACAAAGACCTGAATAAACACTTCTCTAAGGAGGACATACAGATGGCCTACAGATGAAAAAATGCTCAACATCACTAGCCATAAGAGATGCAAATTCAAACCACAATGAGATATGACCTCACACCTGCCAAAATGGCTATCATTAATCAATCGACAAACAACAAGTGCTGGGAAGGATGTGGAGAAAATGGAACTCTAGAGCACTACTGCTAGGAATGCAGACTGGTGCAGACACTGTGGAAAACGGTATTGAGTTACCTCAAAAAAGTAAAAATGGAACTGCCTTCTGACCCAGCAATTCCACTATGGGGAATATACCCTAAGAATCCTGAAATACCCATTCAAAAGATTTTACAACCCACTATATTCACAGCAGCACTATTTACAATAGCCATAATTTGAAAACAGCCTAAGATGAATGGACTAAAAAACTTTGATACATTTAGACAATGAAATACTATGCAGCAGAAAAAAAAGGAAGGAATTCCTACCTATTGTGACAGCATGGATGGAACTGGAGACTATTATGCTAAACAAAATAAGCCAGTTGGTGAAAGACGAATACCACATGATCTCACTTGTAAGAGGAATCTAATGAACAAAATAAAGTAGTGAGCTAAATAGATCAAGAGACACAGGATCATGGAATAGACTGACAGCTGTAAGAGGGGAAGAGAGAGGTTGGGACTGATTTTAAAAAGGTGAAGGAATTAGTCCAAGAACATTTTTGAAGGACCTATGGATATGGACAATGGAGTGAGGACTAAGGAAGTGGAGGGTGGACTGGGTGGATGGGGAAGAAAGAGGGAAAATTGGGATAACTGTAATGGCATAAACGAGAAAACATAAATAAATAAATAAATAAATAAATAAATAAATAAATAAAACTAAAAAAATAAATAAATAAATAAGAACCTTCCTATCATTAAAAAAAGAATTCAACATGAAAGAAATGAAATAAAGGCCTAAAATCAAAGTATTAAACAAAAACCAAAGATATCAATATGAATTCATTTTTTCTTTTTCAAAAATATTCAGGCTGCAATATCAATTGAAAATGCTTAGATGCAATTTCACCCAGGAGCAACGAGCAATCCTAACACTCAGATTGTGGCCTCTACACACCAGTCCTCATTAAAAGAAAGCAGGAGTAATGCCTAAATCTAGGTTTAGGGTAGAACATGCGCAAGATTCTAGGGTAGCCTGAACCACAAACAAAAAAGGCTGCACTGAAGACATGAAGAGGGATATATTAAGATGTCAGAGTAGTCAACATGAAAGCACATCAAAATGAATGAAATATGTTAAATATATAAAACTCCATAAATTCACAAAAACACAACTACAAACAAAAACCATTCACTGGCATTACTTTACAGCACAATTCTTGACTGGTAATTTGCAATGAAAGAAAAAGAATTAAGTCTTTATGCTATCTTTTCTATAAAGCTGTATTTCAGAGTAAACCAATGGCCCTAATTGACAGAGGAAATTTCTTCACAGATGAATTATGAATAATAAATAGGAAGGAATGAATCAAGAGAAAAATATCACCTTTATGCATACCAAGTAACTAATTCAAGCGAAAATCATTAATGGATGAAACCACTATATGATGAGTAAAAGGTAAGCCTTATAATCATATTAGCCAAACAAATTAAAAGACCCATCAGCACTAAAAATGGAACAATTAGACATCATGTGCCTCTTGATGTATGAACATGAGAAACACAGATTAACTATAAAGTATTAAAAATTTTTTTAAATTTTATTTATTTTTAGAGAGGGGAAGAAAGGGAGAAAGGTGAATGTTAATGTGAGAGAAAAAACATTGATTGGTTGCCTCTCACATGCCCCCAACCGGAGATCTGGACTGTAACCCAGGTATGTGCCCTGACAAGGAAATAAACAGGTGACCCTGCACTTTGCTGAACAACGCCCAATCCACTGAGTCAGGCTGGTCAGCTAAGAAGAACTGATACTCACAACTAAACTGTAGAGAAACCATCCAGAATAACACTAGCTGGAGGGAAGGTTTGTAACCACAGACAGAGAAAAGAAACCACTTCGTCATGTGACTGGCTGGGAGTACAGAGGTGCACCAAGGCTGGCTGGGCTCCCAAGGACAGTAGCTGAAGTTCTGGACAGATATTTCAGAAGCTGGGGGTTTTCTCCTGAGAAGATTGGGATCTAAACACCAAGTTGGGCTCCCTAGCCTACAGCACCAAAGCTGCAAAGAAACCCAGATAACATCCAGCTGTGAAAAGCAGCAGGGTTTCTGTCTGCCACAGAGAGACAGCTGGAGACAGAGAGAATGTACAAAATTTCCTTTGCAGCCACTTTCCCTGGGGCTGCAACAGAGGGAGGGCAGAGTAGACTAGAGGAGAGTCAGGGGCTGGTGGCTCTGGGGAGAGAACAAAGGAACAGCTACCAGGATCCCTGTGCTGAGTCATTTCCCACACTGCAGAAGCCATCTTTCTCAGGCTAAGCACTCCTCTTCAAGTGGCATCAGCCTGAGGGGAAGCAACAGCCCTGCATGCAGGAATTACTCTGCCCCACCCTGTGGTGCTTAAGTGGGACTGCTGACCACAGCTTGATTAGAATAACAGATGATCGGTTTAACATCTACGGTGGAACATACAAAGCAGCAGCCCAAATAGGTAGACAACAAGAGATCCAAATGAAAGAACAAGAGAATTCTCCAAAAGATCTAGATGCAATGAAGGCAAGCAATTTATCAGATAGAGTTCAGAGTAATGATTATAAGGATACTCTACAGCATGAAAAAGATATAGAAACCATAAAAAAAGGACCAGTCAGAAATAAGGAATGCAATATCTGAGATAAATAAAAACACTGGAAGGAATAAACAGTAAATCAGATGAAGCAGAAGACTGAATTAGTATTTTGGAAGACCAAGTAGAAAAAAATACTCAGAGCTGCAAAAAGAAAAAAAGCATTAAAAAAAAAGAGAACTTAAACATTTTGGATAACATGAAATGTAACAACATCCACATCATGGGAATACTAGAAGGAGAAGAGAGTGAGCAAGGGATAGAGAATCTATCTGAAGAAATAATGACCAAAAAATTCCCTCACCTGAAGAAGGAAAAAGTCACTCAACTCCACAAAGCTCAGAGAATCCTAAACAAGTTGGATCCAAAGAGGCCTACATCAAGACATATCATAATTAAAATAACAAGGCTTAAGGACAAGGCCAGAATCCTAAAAGCCACAAGAGAAAAGCAGATAGTTATCTACAAGTGAGCACCAATTAGACTGGCATCGGATTACTCAACAGAAACATTTCCAAAGGAGTAGCATGAAACATTCAAAATGATAAAAAGTAAGGACCTACAACCAAAGCTACTTTACCAAGTGAGGCTATCATTTAAAATTGAAGAAGAAATAAGGAGCTTTGCAGATAAAAAGCTAAAGGAGTTTGTTAACATCAAACCAGTACTACAACAAATGCCCAACACTGATGTATTCTGGAAGCCAAGGAGAGTGGACTGGAGTGCACATGTGTGAGGAATGATGACTTCACTGTACTCATCAGTGGGTGTGGCACACACCGCTGAGTGAGCATGTATACTGTATGACTGTCACATTCAAAAAGCCTGAGTAAGGAGAGCAACAAATCTGCATCAAATTTTGTGTTGAGCATGAACACTGATTGAGAAGGCCATAGTTATGGGCAACTGGTGATTGGCAGCTTTATCATAACAACAAACCCACTCATGCATTATGTCTTGTGCAGAGTCTTTTGGTGAAAAATCAAGTCACCTAGGTGACTTGATAGCCCACATGTAGCCCACCTATAGCCCAGATTTGGCACCCTGCAACTTCTGGCTTTTCCCAAAACTAAAATCACCTTTGTAAGTAAGGGAAGAGATTTCAGATAACTGATGAGATTCAGGGAAATATGACAGTGCAGCTGATGGAGATTGGGAGAACTGTGTGAGGCTCTAAGGTGCCTACTTGGAAGGGGACTGAGACATTATTATCCTATGTACAATGTTTCTTATATCTTGTACCTTCTTCGGTAAATGTCTCTATTTTTTATATTACATGACTGGATACCTTCTAGACAGACCTTGTATACATACAATGGAATATTATTTAACCTTAAAAAGGAAATTCTATAATAAGAATCCCGAAACACCAATCCAAAATAACCTATGCACCCCATTGTTCATAGCAGCACAATTTACCCAAGGGCTGGAAGCAACCTAGGTGCCCATCAGTAAATAAATGGATCAAAAACTATGGTACATTTACACAATGGAATTCCATGCAGCAGAAAGAAAGGAGCTCCTACCCTTTGCAACAGCAAGGATGGAACTGGAAAGCATTATGCTAAGCAAAATAAGGCACAAGGTGAAAGACAAAAACCATATGATTTCACCTTTAACAGGAACCTAATCAATAAAACAAACAAACAAGCAAAATATAACCAAAGACACTGAAATAGAGAACAGGCTGACAGTGACCAGAGGGGAGGAAATTTCAGGGGAAAAGAGGAAAAGTTTGCAAGAACAAGTATAAAGGACACATGGACAAAAACAAGGGGCAGTGGAAATGGGAGGGAGGTGGGGAAGGCTGGGGGGTGGACTGGGATGGGAGTAAAAGACAGAAAACTGTACTTGAACAACAAAATTTTAAAAAATTCTGACACATGTGACAACGTGGATAGAATTTGAAGAGATTATGCGAAGTGAAACATGCTACATATAAGAGCAAACACTGCATGATTCCATTTATATGAAACATCTAAAACAGTCAAATTCATAGAGTCAGAAAGTAGAACAAGGGATGAGGGAGGGAGTAATGGAAAATTGTTACCAGAGAATTTCAGGTTGGGATGATGAAAAAGTACTGAAGATGGATAGTAGTAATGATTGTATAACAATGTGAATACATTTAATGCCACTAAACTGTACATTTAAAAATGGTTAAGATGGTACATTTATTATATATAAATGTGTGTGTGTGTGTGTATATATATATATATATCCACATGAAAAAATATATTTTAAATAAAAAATAGAGTTGGAGCCCTGGCTGGTATAGTTTAGTGGATTGAGCGTGGGCCTGCAAATCAGAGGATCTCGGTTTGATTCCCAGTCAGGGCACATGCCAGGGTTGCAGGCCAGTTCCCAGCAGGGAATGCACGAGAGGCAACCATAAATATTTCGCTCCCTCTCTCCTTCCCTTCCCCTCTAAAGATAAATAAAATCTTAAAAAAATAGAGTTGGAAAGAAATGCATTCAATAAAATACTGTATCTCCAGAATCCAGTGACTAGACACCAAAGTATATAGTGGCAGAACCAACTACTAAAAGTATAAAGTGATCAGCTCTGAATGGGCAGCTCAGTTGGTTAGAGCGTCATCCCAGTATACCAAGATTGCAGGTTTGATTCCGGGTACGGGCACATTCAAGGATCAACCAGTGAGTGCATGAGTAAGTACAACAAAAAACTGATGTCTGTCTCTGCCTGCCTGCCTCTCTCCCTCCCTTCCTCTCTCTATTCTATGAACCAAATACTATTGGCTCACAGGTTCAGATCCATAGTATTTTCTACTTAAGGAGGGGCATCTTAAAGATAATCTGAATTCCGACTCAGTAACAATTCCTATACATATATACACCATATCTTTATTTTAGGTCATGGTTACCTACATGAGAAAATTCAGAATAAAGTGTTTCAGAATAAAAACCCCTCAGAATATCATTAAAAAACTCAAATTACTCATAACATGCTTAAAATTCCTAACTTTAAAATCCAATGTGCCTTTCCGATTTCTAGGTCAATAATTGTACAGATATATTAAAATATGTATCACACATTTAAGGACAATATTAAAGATCCAAATTAGTTTGTATACTTACAATGTAATATAACTTTGAGCTCAACCAGGAGTTTCTTTGACCCTCCATGACTTGTTCCTGGAAGCTTTTGCATTGCTTCTCCTTTTTTATTCAGTATTTCAATCCTTAATGCACCTGTTAATCCAAAGTTTAAAGTAAGAGTGTCTTAGTTACACCCAAAGAATCTGATGATTCTGCTAGATACTAAGGCTGTATTTTAATTTTTCATGGTCTTTTACACATTAGAAATGTAAGACACAAAAAAAGCCTTTCCTTCAGTATGGAGGGAAAAATGAATGGAAAGAAGAAAGAAAAAACCAAACACGTACCAATAGGGGTTCCAGCAGGCCTAATTTCATTTGGCAATAATTCATCTCCTTCAGGCCAAGTTACTGACAATCTATCAGGGAGCCTAGTGGGTAACCAGCATATTAATGTTTCACGATCTATAGCAATGTGGTCTTAATTTAAAAACAGAAGTTACTAGAAACTTTAATACTTATTTATCATATATTCTGAAAGGTTAAATCTGAAATTCTATGACTAATAATCTAAAAGTTTTCTCCTCCATAACCATCACTGTGGCTACTGAAAAAGTCAGGCAAAATTTCTTGTATTAAGAGCCAGGAATTGCCCATTTTTCATGATTTTACTATTTGTTTACACCTTAAGTTACCTTTTGTACATAGATAAACTATTAAGAATAGAAGAATTATCTGTGAGATTCAGTGAGAATCAAAATGAATGCATCAACTATACAAAAGTCACAAATAGACTTATGTTTTAGTACTTCCTTTTACTTATTTTGTGCTAATCTTTACCTCTCTGGAGTTACCACAATTTTCTTCTTATTACAAGCCAAAGTTGTTTTTTTAACATACCCTAACCCTTGTGCCTATAATAATACTTTAGATATATAAAATTTCCTTTTTCTGTAAAGCAAATATAAAATTCTGTTTTTATAACAAGAACTCTTAATTTTTTAATGTTAAGAAGTTTGTCACAATATATGTATCCAGATTGCAAATGCCCTAATTAAAAGCACTATGATCTACCCTTTTGATTTTTCTTATTATTTTTATCATGCATCTTGAAATGTGAATTACCTTGCCATTTCATCTTCTACGTATTTTTTTATGGTTTTCTCAGCAACTGTCCTATCCAGCTTTGCAATTGGCACAGTTCTTGTTTCATCATATAGTGCTCGAGGTTCCTGAATCAATAAAATAAATTTATACCGGCCCTTCAAAAAAAACTTTTCAAATTCAGCTGCAGTAAAAACATTCACTTATTTCTTCCAAAGAAATATACTTTACCCTCATTAACTATAAAAATCATAGTAGTATCATTACATTAGACCTTGGTGTCTGTTTCCATTTTTCATGTTATCTTCTTAGGCCTAATTAGATACCGTTCCAATATTAATAGAGTATGGTATAGGGACAAAACCCACTCTAGTTTTGGAATCATTCATTCTTAAGACAGAATTGTTTCCAGTGTTTACTAGTTTGTGGGCCTTGGATGAAATGTGCACTTTACAAAATCACTGTGATAAGTAGCAATAATATGTATGTTTGTTAAACACTGGGCATAGAGATGTTAAATTCTATAGATTATAATAACACCAAATATGAAATGCAAATATTCATGCCAACACTATTTTATCCAATGGAAAAACCAAATGCAAGCAAAATACTTCACCTTTATTTTTACATTTAAGCAAAAGTAAGTGATGCCAACAGACTTTCAATAAATATTTTGTATTACTTGTTGTCTTACCATTGCAATTTGAACCTCTCCTCCAGTAGCATAAACTTCTCCATCATGATCACCATAAAGAAAAAATTTTTCTATGCTCCCATAAAAGAGAGGAAGTGTCTTCACTGTCTTGACCTAATATTTAGTTTTGAAAAAGGATTTAGTACTAATATTTACTAAGAGAAACAGGTCTAATGTAATTATTTCACAGAAACACTTTACACAAAGAAAAAAAACTAGGTATCTATCATTAGAAAGAATGAATTTTAAAACAGCATTCCAATATCCTAATAAAGCTGTAACTGTAAAGTTCTCCATTTACAACATATTTTTGTAAAGACACAGTAGCTTCTTCATACAAGAATGTCATAGGTATGCATGTGTCTCAAAGGTCCATAACTCCTCCAAAGTCAATTATTATAAATGCTGAAGTATCTCAAACCTTTTCCCCTGATAAAATCTGGCTTTTGTACTACAAACAGTGAGTTATAAACTCCAGCAAGTTATCATTTCCTTAAAATAAATTAGTGTGAAACTTGCCTATAGTATTTCTTTTTTCTTACATGGCTTGAAAAATCTAAGGGTAATTTCCATTAATACAATTCAGAAATTCCTGACAAGGACTACAAGACTCTATACCCAATCGACCTTTCCAGACTCATTTCTAAACTAATTGTACTCACACAAACATTACCCAACTCTACTGCCTGCTGTTTCCCTAAACTTAACAATAGCTTTGTCTATGCTCAGAATACTCCTGAGAAAGCATTTTACTCAACCACCACAGAGAATTTGACAAAGGTGATTACTCCCTCCTTCTTATAGCTCTTCACATAACTTCAGGTATTGTATTCTCCTATTTTCCTTCTATTTAACCAACTTATCCCTTTCATTCTCATTTGTCAGCTCCCTCTTTCTAATCCCTAAATGTTAGAAAAGCAAGACTGTAGCTACACACAGTATCTCCGGGTTACTACATCCAATTCTCACATTTATGGAGAGCATGGATATCCTTCTACTTTGGCAATAATCTGTGTAAACCTGAGCCTCTACCTCTTTCAAGGTCCTTACAAATGCGATTTTTTGCCCAAAGAATTTCAAGATTAACTCTTTTCTCCCAGGGCCATCCAAAGTCAGAAAATTTGCTCCTCTCCTTCTAAGCTATCAAAGAATATTCATGATCTTTTCTTGGCAGCTATCCTCTTATAACCTATTATTACTTATGTTTAGGTTATCTCTATTTTTAGGCTATAATATCCCTAAGGACTAAGCACATCTAATAATTCTCTGCATTCTCCACAACTCAGTCAATAAGCATAGTAATTTACAAGAACCAGACACTCAATAAAACTTGCTAAAAATCATAATTTTGTATCACATTAAAAAAATCTCCATTTGAGCAAAGTTTATTCAAGAAATAATAAAAAAAACCCTTGCTAATTAAGTCTCAGGCAATAAATAGGGTTTTGTTTGGTTTTTTTTTTAACACCATGCTAAACTGTCATTAAAATCAGTTTGAACTTTTCATTTTTTCCTGGCTCCTAAAAAGCCAATAAATACATACATTTTTTATCCTAATATATCCAACCAATGTTATCCAATAAATTCAATTTTTTAAAAGTTTTAATAGATCAAATTTCAAATTCTATTAAAAGTGAATCTACAAATAAGTTAAACCTACCAGCTGTCCTGCTTTGTATATTTTTCCATCCCATTCTATTGCTGAGTACGTGGCCCAGGGGCCCTGCTTTTTAGAAGGAAGATCAGAACGTGTAATTATTCCTTTAAAAAGTGTAAATTTTATTTGTTTGTCATACTTTTCATGACAGTCCTTGAGCCATAAAGCAAATTCTCTGTCAATTTTCATGCGCTGCTCCTGTAAAATTTTAAAACATTCTATGAAACATGGTAAAGAAATACAACCATTGGTATTTGTCATTCATTCCATTTTTCCTTCCATATACCCACCCCAGGAAACCTAATAAAAAACTGAAATATTTTGCCAATCTTTCTCCCATACAAATTTAGATTTCTAACAAAACCACCAATAGAGAAAGCAAATCTTTATTATCGTCCTTTGAAGCAAAGTCTCAATAGTCAATACCAGCAATAAAACTTTTCTTTCCTGCTTTAAATCCTAGGGTACACCACAAAATGATGAATAGTAATGGCAAAGGAGAAAGAAAACTTCCTGGCTATGAGAAAGAGGTAAGTGGAAACATTTTCACTGTGAATCATGCATATTCTGAACAGGGCAAAAATACTTCTTTTAATGTTTTAAGAACAGATATACCTACATAAACACAAATATAGTATATCTATGGTACTAAAATGTCATGGATTAGGAAATCCATGACATTTCCATAAATTAGGAAAAAAGTTTCCTTATAAAAATGATAAGGAAAAAAAGGTTGAGATACCCTGCTATGCAAAACAAAATTTTTCTTTTAATTATGTACTGCATTCACAGTACCAATTCAAAAATTAAATCATAAAATAAAAACTGTTTTCTAATAATACATTAAAAATGTTATTGCTTATCATTCTTCATCCTACTGGAACATAGTATAGGGATTTATACTTAAACATAAGCTAAAAGATACTGTTTAGTGCCTGTCTTGAGCAGTGTAAGTAGGGAAGACAATGGCCACATTACATGCTTTCACAGAACACAATGTATAAAATTACAAAAGTTCATGTCTTTCTACATTCCTTACTCTGTATTATACTATTTCCAAATGAAAATGGGGCAGAACTAAAAGTGATTTCAGCTTTCAATAAAAAATATGTGTAGTTGGGAAACACTCAAAAATGACAAGTTTCAAAGAAAACTTCCTCCAACCCTTTTCCCGGGAACCAACTCCTTTCTGAATCAGCAAATAACTGTTATCATTTTGTGAACTTGACAAGGATATTAAAATTATTAACTAGGAACGGGACAGTCTGTCTAGATTTTTATACTTCAATGTATAGCCCAAACATTAGATAAAATTATTCTAAGCTAAAATATAAAGAAGTCTCAGGATTCACTACCAATCAAATTACCAGATGGATTAATTGAATCCTGAAATTCAGTAGTAAGTCAAAGGATATGTCAAATGTGTGGCAAGAAAACAGTTAATCTAGGAGAAGAGTATGTGCATACTCATTATAATATTCTTTCAACTTTTCTGTGTACTTAAATTTTCTCACCCTGGCTGGTGTGGTTCAGAGGATTGAGTGCCTGCCTGTGAATCAGAGTCATTGGTTTGATTCCCAGGCAGGGCACATGCCTGGGTTGTGGGCCAGATCCCTGGTTAGGGGCATGCAAGAAGAATGATCAATGTATATCTCATACATTGATGTTTTTCTCTTTCTCTCTTTCTCCCTCCTGTCCCCATTCTCTAAATAGTAAAATAAATAGAATCTTTAATAAAATAAAATTTCCCCAAATTACAAAATATATTTCTTAAAATACAATGTATCGAAGAAATAGAATTAACCTATTATGGGTAACTTTTGGAAAAACTAAACTGTTCAATAAATGTTGGATAATTAATAAATCTAAGTACAAGTAACACCTTTCTTAGGGGATAACTCATTAAAAGTATCTTAATCGTCTATGATTCAGAATTTTTAAATAATAGCAAAATGAATGTCAACATCCTGTAGGAATGACTTACTATAAATACCATGTGCTATTGTATTCTACTGAATATTTACTTCCTAGCAATTTTAGGTTCGTAATAAATGTACCTGTTTCTTGGCAACTCAACATTTAACTACTAAAAGAGGAGTATATCAAGTAAAAGTTTTTGAGGTATTTATTTGGATAGAAAAAAAGTACAATAGTATAGTAGTTCCACTCAATTCCTAAGAAAAATATCTACCACTCTTGTTCTATCAATCAATGCATGTATTTTAATACTGACCAGTCTCAAATCACCTTTTAGCCCAAAGTATTTCACAGTTCTACCTCAATTTCACACTTAAGATTAGATTTAAATTACACAGTTTGGTTCTTGATATGCAGACATAGGCCTTGTGTCAGATAAAATTGTTCTTATGAGCTCTCACCAAATGTATATGCTTGTTTAGCTTCTATGTAGTATATCATGGTCTTAATATTAAGATCTAATAAAGAACTGTAAATTTTATCCAAAATGGTATAACCAGTTGAAATTTTTGAAAGATGTGAGCACATAAATGCTCATAAGAGAAAATTTATACATATTCTTTTTATTAAATAAAATGAAAAGTATCTTTGTCAGGTAGCTCGGTTGGTTAGAGTGTTGTCCCAATACACCAATTTTGCAGGTTTGATATCCGGAGGGCACATATAACAAACCAATGAATGCATAAGGAAGTGGAACAACAAAGCAGTATTTCTTTCTCACTATCTCTCCACCCCCGATCAATTAAAAAGTATGCAAAATATCACATAAATCTACATGAATAATGAGTTCTATTGTACATGATATAAAACATTTACGAATATCCAAAAATTGATACTGAAAATCATACCTGTCCATTTAAAATCCTTGTAAAAAGGGTGTTCTTATCTTTCAATTTTAGCTCAAGATCCATAAAAGTCAGTTTATTTGTGCTGACCTGGAATCTGTCATTAGTGAATAATGCACCAGATATTCTATTGTAACACTCAATTGGTGCAAGTCCTTTCTTCTTTGGGGGAGTACACCAGTCAAAGCTTGAAGAGAAGAAAATATTAGTAAAAAGATTAGGTTATAAAACAATATAATTTCAGCAAAAATCAAAACTTACCCTTCAACAGATGTATATGGTATTAGTCGTCCATTCCAAAAACATTCGAAAATAGGCCTTTTCCCTCTTGCAGCTTTCTCAAGTATAAAACAATCATCGTCATCATCTTCATCTTTTAATTCTAGAGTACAAGAGGAAGTGGACCAAAATGTTTATTGCTATAAAGTATATGCAATTTTTATCACTGAGAAATCAATTTCTGTAAGTAAAATATTAAAGTTCCTTCAGAGAAATGGCAACAAAAACTCATGTTCGTTAACACTGTATTCTATAAAACCCAAAGGTAGCTTTATTCTTAGTCTGCCTCACAAAGAAACACCTCTGAAGCAGTTATTATTACCAACAGTGTTTCTCATTTGAAAGTCAATAATTACTTTCATACTAATCAACCTGTGTTAGGACCTATACTAGCTACTAGCTTGCAATCATTAAAAACTGTTTATAAAGCAAAAGAGTCATACATGCAAAGAGATTATTACCTAGAAAATCCCCCTTCCCTACAAATATAGGACCATAAGTCCTATACCTGAAACACAACTTTCACAATTTTGGCAGAACCAGTATATGTTCACCTAAAAATTAGCTAGGAAACCTATGCAATCTAGCAGCAAGTTTACCTAGTTTGGGCAAATTATCAATAACACTAAGTTTATACCCTGGCTGCCATAGCTCAGTGGATTGAGCGAGGGCCTACAAACCAAAGGGTCACAAGGTACATGTCTGGGTTGCAGGCCAGGTCCCCAGTAGGGGGAGCATGAGAGGCACACACTGTTTCTCTCCCTTTCTCTTTCCCTTCCCTTCTCTCTAAAAATAAAATCTTTTTTAAAATACTCAGTTTAAATTTATCTTATATAAACTATTAAATTTTGTGGATCAGATTCAGTTGCTATAACTAAAATTATAAAATATGTTACAAAGCATCAAACACATAATTAACCCAACTGACTGTAACTTTTTAATGTTATTTTGGCAATTCATTTTCATATATCCAGATAAGTTAGAATCAAACATTATAATCATGATATAGCAACACCTTAGTTACTCTGGCATTAAGTCAACCTCCCTCACATATAAAGCTCTCTATCCCCCCAAAACCCTCACAAGGAGTCCTAAAGTAAAAGTTCCTTTCAATCAGAGCCAATTGGTTTGCTCTCAGAGAACCCCTCTAATAATCACTCAATTTATTGGCTCTTATTTTAAGAAATAATTTGAAGGACTTTATCTTTTTGTAAATCAGCATACAAATATTAGGAATGGCAAAATGAAAATGGGCCAGAGACATCACGAGAAGCAGAGCCACTGAGTAGCAACATGTACGTGTGCTGGATAAATGATGTTGGGCATAATGACTTACAGCAATTTCTTAACCCTCACAATACCTCAATGAGGCATTAACTAGTACCCTCCATCCCATTTTACTGATGAGGAAAACTGAAGTAGGTAGTAGTTTGTCACAGTTTACACAACAGAAAGTGGCATATTTGGGATTCAAATCAGGAAATCTGGTTCCAGAACCTGCAACACTTACGGATATACTGAGAAAGTATTCTGAATAAGAAAATTTAATACTGTTAATCTATGAATTCAATGAAATCTCAATAATCCTACCAGGAGTTTTCTAAGTGAATGTACAATGATTTTAAAGTTTATCTAGAAGAATAAAAGATTAAGAAGTAAGAATTTTCTCAAAGAATAATATTGAATATCTTGCCCTACAGAATCAATATAGAGTCTATAGCTACAGGGGAGTATCATTACTCATGCATAAAAATACAAAATAGACCTATAACAAAGAAACCAGATGTGAAAACTAAATATTATTATAAAAGTAATATTTCAGACTATTTAAAAAATCATAACATTCAATATAATTGGTGCTAAGGAAATAGATATCCATATAGAAAATATTAACTTAAAGCACTACTTCATCCTACACACAAAAAGTAGAGTACAGATGCATTAAAGATCTGAAATTATTTTTAAAAACTACCAGATCCTCTTATCTTTCCACAGTAAGATAAAATCAGAAACCATATAGAAAAAACTGACTATATAAAGTTTAAAACTTCTTTAAATATACCTACAAAGATAATGGGAAAATAATATGGGGAATATATGAAAGATTAATATGTAGGGTATAACTAAAAGTTCAGTTCAGTAAGAAATCTAAGATAAAAGAATATGTAATGCTTCTTAAAGCTAGTGCTTCATTGATATACAAGTGAATACATACAAAAATCAAGAATTATAAAAACTATAAATACCTAACATCTTAAAAAGATCTGTATAAGGAAAAAGGTATTAATATTTATCTAACCTTAATAACCCAATTAACAATAATAATTAAAAGAAACAAATCACTATCCTAAATCACAACTTCATATTTTGTAGCTAAAATAACAAATTAGCATACTTGGAAAGCACGGATCATCAGGGTAAGTTTCTCTATCATATAAGAAAGGGTGATATCGGATAATCCCTTCCACTACACCGTCTCCTTCCACGTGAGCTTTGAACTCAAAACTATCAGTTGCTGTGTTTATATACAACGTCTGCATGTCATCTTGTATATCCCTTAGGTTGACGATCTTAGATGCCTTCCCCTTTTCAAACATAGAAATCTAAAATAAAAATAAAGCAAAAATAATTAAATCTATGGTGACTTTTGTTCTCAGCTATGATCTGACAAAGGAATAGGTAAAAATTACTTTTATTTGTATAAGTAAACGTTTAACTTAATGAAATTTTTTAATGTGTTAAATGGCTATAAGTAGCATCTCAAAAAGGAATATACTACTAACAAAACAGAAAGTAAGCCAAGAGAGCAAAGCAGATCTGAGGACAAGTAAGTCATGACTACATTTAATTCAAGGTTTCTTGCTAAAGGTAGAAAGTGGAACAATGATGTATATGAAATTCTTTCTAACATGTGGGCAAGGATGTTGAGAACCAAATACTCAATTGTTCTGTGGTTCTAAATCATACTTCACCATCATAAGACTTCTGAGAACAAGAGAGAAAATATTTATGTCGCTTTTCCTCTCTGCTTTAAGACATAGCATGCAGCAGTAACTCATATCTCCATAAAAGACAGAAAAAGAAACTAACTATGATAAACAAAGGTTTCAGAAAAACACATCTATGGATAATCTCTTTACCTGGACAACAAATTACCAGAGAACTTTAGTAAAAAGGAGAGAAAAGTTGTTTTTCTATTAACTGATTTTTGTTATCCAGAGTCAGTTGGAACTGGAACAAATACCTAACAGTTGATAAAATTTGAAAGGAATTTCATCTTACTTCAATATCAATGTTGCTGAAAGGTCCAACTTCTTTTGATGTACGTTTTTCATTTCCTTTGGGGCCATGAATATAGTAATGATAAATATGCCTAAAATATAGAAGAGTAACATTACACTTTTAAGTCACATAAAATTATAGTTCATACATTCTTCTGCCAAAAAAAATTAACTACTATTTGGCAGTACCTACTGAGCACTACATCAAGCATTATCAAACATAATATCCCATTGAAAGGTAAAAACAATCCTGAGATGCAGGTATTATTACATTTCATTTTATACATACAAAATTGGGGATCAAGGGGCTTATATAATTTACCTAAGGTCACAGAACTTAAGAGTTTGGGAGAAGGCAGGGGCTCAGTTCAAGCCTTTTCTACTTCAAAGCTCACATACTTTACAATTCCAAGAAGTATGATTCAAAAAAATACTAGAAGGCAAGAGGTTATAATTCCACTTATCAGGAATACTAAGGACTTAAATATTAGGGAGCATATGGAATTAGATATCTTTAAGCTTTTTGTACAACTTGAGAATATTATTCTGTAACTCTCATTGCTCCTATCCTATAGCACTGAAAAATCTTATCCTAAAATTGCCCAAACAAAATTAATACATTCAATAAATTTTGAACCACTACTTTATTTTTAAATAAAGGTTAAAGATGACTAATAATATTAAGGGCTAAAACATATTGGATCTGTTGTTACTCCTCACATAGGAATTTACAATATTCCTTCATTACAAATTTTAATTTTAAAAAATAATTATCCTAGCTATTTAAAATACTATTGATAAAAGGAAATGACTGAAAATCTTAAGATCTTTCTTCAGACATCTCAAAAGTGTTAACATTGTAATCAAAGATAATTTACAACTATACATTAAGAGAGTGCTGTAAATGGCTTAGTGACTGTTTCAAAGAATGGTAAAAGCTGTATGTTATTCACTGTTAGACTAGGAATATGTCCTAATCATGTGTTATGTACTCTAAGTTCCTTCAGTTAAAAGAAATAACTACTAAACAGCAAATAAAGTATGTACTTAGTAGTAGCCTTTTGGATAAATGGGAAAAGGTACTTGTTCCAAAAATACAAGTTTTGTTTTTGCAGACATACCTGTTTTTGCAAGACTCAGTAATTCAGACTAACACAAATTAAAGAAACAATCCAGCCTTTTCATCTCATGGCACACATTAACTAATTACTAAAATTCTGTGGCACACCAAAAAGTAAATATATTTTTTGCTAATCTGACAAAAAATAGATATAGTTTTGATTCATTCACGCTAGACAGCTATTGTTGTGTTGGCTATGGTCGTTTGTTGAAAATTTGACAATGTAAAGGAAAAGAGGTCAGTGTCCCTGAGTAAATGGTGAGGTATTGCATGTTTTAATAATTCTTGCAGCACATTGGTTGAAAATCGCTGGCTTAGGGGCATTAAATAAATGTTTCTCTAATTTGGGCTAATGGAATATATACTCCACAAAAGATTTCTTAGAAGAGACAGATACACAAAGATTTCTCTTCAGTATTACTAATGTCATATAGGCACAAACACACTTTTTTTTCATATTAACAGACTCGTTGCATTCACTGGGTAAACACTTAAGAGAACCTCTACCATGTACCAGGACACATTGGGTATAGAACAGCGCATAAAAAATTACATTCCACAGTGGGAAGGCAGGCAAAATAATAAGTAAAATATATGGCATGGAAGATTACAACAGGTCCTATAAGAGAAGCGCAAAGGGGTGCTATGGAAATGATGGCACTGAATTTGATAAATTCTAGTTTATTTAAAATTTTATCATAGGTGTCAAAATGCTTGTGCCTCAAATATTAACCAATACATTATAGGTGACCAATAAATATTTACAGACTAGAGGACCATTTTAATGCTAATAGAGTGCTGGTTACTGTACTAAAGGGAAGAAAATGAGGCAGGAGCAAAGCAAAGCAGATATCCAAAAAGCTTCAATGTATCTGTAATACTTTTGTTCGTAAAGAAGTTGAAACATGTTGTGAATCAACATAATATAAATAACCAATCAATATAAATAATTACTTACGCTAACTGTCTTGTCCAAAGATGAAAATAATTTTTCAAGTACTGTATGTGTTCTGATTGTACCCCTGTGATAACCACAGCAGTAAAGCTATCTTTTTCCTTCTCCTCTGAGATAAGATAATGTAGAAATCTTTCATCATCATTTGTAATGTGAACAGAATCAGATGGCTGCAAGAATAAATATAAATAAAACATATTACATACACCTTAATTATAATTGTAGAATTAATATTTTTTGTGATTGACCTGGATACCTTCAAATACAGGCTTTCAGAAACTTTGGGAGAAAAATGGCACAATACAGATCAGCTGAGTGTGTGACAATACAGTGAAGACAGAGAAACTTACAAAGATTGCTAAACTAGCAAACACAAAGAAGTATCCTACCATAATGCTAAACCAATTTTAGAATCATGAAGAAAAGGTAAAGATAAATAACTATGAAATTTGTAATGCTGAAAAAATTGAGGACACTTACCCTAGGGTGAAACAGTCCTTGCTTGGGATACCTACCACTTGGTCAAGATCACTGCCCAGCCCTCCATGTTCAAGAAAGCTAGGATGAAGCCTGAACTCAGCTGTCTTAGCATGAAGGCATTTGTGTTTAATAAAAGACAGTAAAACCATCCTAGACCCCATTCCACTTTCAGAAAATATCTATAGCTTGCAGAGGGAAGTAGGGAGAAGCGATAAGGGGGAGAGTTTGAGGATAAATATTATAAACCTCTTAACTTTTAACACATATAGTGAGTTTATATGTGTCAGAAATTTCATGCATATGTGTGCATATATATACTATGTATGTTGCCATATACATAAAAATTTATAAGGATAAAGTTACACACTGAACTATTGGGTTGGCCAAAAAGTCGATTAAATTTTTTGCATACAAGGACTCTAGTAGTGTTTAGTTGTTTTTAACTTCATTTGAAACAATTGTTAGACTGTATTGTGATAGCTGTCATATCAGCATGCATTTAAAAAAAAGCTTATCAAGATTAGTGAATTTTTGTGCAGCCATTTTAATACTGGAGATGGAATTAAATACGTGACATTTTTGGTATATTATGCTTTATTATTTCAAGAAGGGTAAAAATGCAACTGAAATGCAAAAAAAATGTGTCTAGTGTATGGAGAAGGTGCTGTGACAGATCGAACATGTCAAAAGTGGTTTGCAAAGTTTCTTGATACTGTTGACAATTTTAGCCAAATAATTCTTTGCTGTAGGCTGTCTTATGCACTGGAAAATGTTTAGCAGCACCCCTGGCCTCTAACCACTGGAAGCCAATAGCTGGAGATAGCTGACATACTCAAAATATCCCAATCAATAAAGTTATTGGTGAAAATAAAAAAAACGTAACAAACTTTTTGGCCAAATCAATATTATGGCTAGGAAAGTAGCATTTTATTTCTTTAAATATGCATGTATTACTTTCTTAAGAAAAAATTGAAATAGTCCTGGCTGATGTGGCACAATGGATTGAGTGCTGGCCTGCAAACCAAAGGGCTGCTGGTTCAATTCCCAGTCAGGAAACATGCCTGGGTTGCAGGCTAGGTCCCCAGCAGGGGACCCATGAGAGGAATCCACACATTGATGATTCTCTAACAAAATTAAATAGGTGCACAATTCTACAACATATTACCTGCACGCTGTATTATGTGTTTACCACCCTAAGTCAAGTCTCCATCCATCACCATTTATCCCCCCATATTGTCTTCCACCACTCCCTACCCACCTGCTCCAGCAATTACCACACTGTTGTCCATGTCCATGAATTCTTTTTTCTGTTTTGCTCAATCCCTCTCCACCTTATTAGCCCCCATAGCTGTCGGCCTACTCTTTATGAGTCTGTCTGTGTTTTGCTTGTTGTTTGTTCATTAGATTCCGCATGAGTGAAACCATCCAGTACTTGTCTTTCTCTGACTGGCTTACTTCACTTAAAAAGAAGAAAATTTTACCCTTTGCAACAGCAAGGATGAACCCGGGGAGCATTATGCTAAGTGAAATAAGCCAATGTCTCAATTTTAAAAGAAAAGTCACTTGGCAAGAAATAGATTTGAGAATTGTTGACATTAAGTGGCATATATACATACACGCACACAGACAAAGCAACACTACAGGTTATATCAAGAACTATCAACCCCACGAACATTGTAATAAGTGCCAACAGGTCAGAAATATAGGTGGAGTCAAAAAAGAATAGGCTCAAAAGGTCTGGTCCAGAAGAAAGAAGCAAGGTCCTATTAGTACCAATAAATGTTTGTGGGGATGAACTAAACACAAAATACAGGAAAAACTGGCAGAAAGATGACCCAAGAGACCTCAGTTGAAACCAGGCATCATTATATGTACACAGTTTTGAAAAATCATTTAAATCCTCAATTCACAATTTTTCGCCAGTTTTAACATGGCAAATAACATTTTCACCAATATACTTTAAGATACTTTGTGTTAGTAAGGTAATATGGAAAAGATAAAACGGAACACTGCTATGTAAATTGTTAAATAAATGCAACAAATTTGAAAGGAAAAAGTGGGATAAGCAAAAGGAAGAAAATTTCCTGGACAGAGGAGAATGTTAAGTTATAGAAAAAAATAAAAGTAGTTAATAAACATGAAAAAATTCAGCTCACTATCAATGAAAGAAAAGTTATTTTACCCATCAAATTGTCAACATTTTGCTGCCTCCCCCCAATTCTTTTTAAAAATAAGAAAATGGTCAAATAGGCACTTCTAATATACTGTTCTTAGGAGTATATCTGATTTGGGATCAACCTTTCAGGAAAGTGGTTTTGTAATATATACTATGAAACATTTATAAAGTTCACAGTATATCACAACTGTTAAAATCCTGACAATCTATAACAAAAAACCCCCATAACTCAGGCAGTATTATGCAAAGATATTCATAGTAATGTCTTTATAATTATATAAATTGAACATAAGTTATATTTATTTAAATTATAGATACTCAACAAAATAGTTAAGTTACAGCACATTCAACTCAAGGAATACTATGAAGCCATTTAAAGTGTGCTGTGTACCAACATGGAGAAATACTCAAAACATTCATTTAAAAAAATGTGGGCTCAAACTATAGGTATGTAATTAAAAAGACTAGAAGAAAATTCAACTAAACATTAAGTATCTTTTCCTGGCATTTGAAACTGTTTTTACTTATTTACATTTTCCTATAAAATGTTTGCAGTTTGTTTTAGAATCAGAAAAGAATTTTTAAAAATCTCAAAATTACACCCTGGCTGGTGTAGCTCAGTGGATTGAGCATGGGCCTGCGAACCAAAAATCGTGGTTCAATTCCCCATCAGGGCACATGCCTGGGTTGCAGGCCAGTTCCCAGCAGGGGATGCACCAGAAGCAACCATACATTGATATTTCTCTCCTTCCCTCCTTCCCTTCCCTTCTAAAGATAAATAAATAAACAAACAAATAAATAAATTCTTTAAAATCTCAAAATTACTTTAAAATAAAGATTTTAAAACTGAAAATTCTGAACTGTTACAAATGGAGAAAAATTTAATGACTCTAATAAATATCATGTGCATGACCAAGATTCAAATTTATTAACATTTCACTTATTAAAATGAGAATCAAAGCAAATTTATAACAGAAATAAATAGCTCATTTCTTTCTCTGAAGCTCTGATTTCCTAAAAGTATATTATCCTATCACTGTTTTCTACTCTAGTTCTATGCTTATTATATCACAAAAATTTAAAAACTCAAATTCAGTGCAAGGAAAAGTTAAAAAAATCTTATGAGGCCCTGGCTGGTATAGCTCAGTGGATTCAGCGAGGGCTGCGAACCAAGCGGTCGCCAGTTCGATTCCCAGTCAGGGCACATGCCTGGGTTGCAGGCCAGGTCCCTGGTACAGGGCGCACAAGAGGCAACCACACATTGATGATCCTCTCCCTCTCATTCTCCTTCTCTTCACCTCTCTCTAAAAATGAATAAATAAAATCTTATAAAGAAAAAAAAAATCTTATGAGCACTTTCCAGGAAGATTACTCAGCTTTATGAAAAAACTTGTCTGAAGACTTCCAGCCTGAGAAAACATATATGATCACTTCTGCTATTCACATGATTAAAGAAAAAAATAAAAATAATTTAACCTGAAAATTCCATACCTTCACCTTTTTTAAAGCAATATTAGTATCTTAGATAGAATTAGAAAAAGTTTCTTTTCCTATCATGCATCCAAATACCTTTATAATTAATGAGTTAAAATGCAGTATACCTTTCTGTTTCTAATATATCCACTATATATCGACTCTTTATTTTTCTCCTTCTTCTCAAAATCTTCTTTAGAAAGCACAAGTTCATGAACATCTTGGGAATCTGCAGGTTTGCTTATCATCTGTTGGATATTAAAAAGAGTACTTAAAAAAATTCCTAAAAGTTAAACTGATTAACACATTTAGACAGTATCAACCTCAAAGTATTTTGTTGACTTTCATTTATAAGAAATTTTACTCACTCTGGCTGACTGTCCAACAAAGAAAACAGCCTGCTTGCCCCCAACACCAAAATAGGAAATATCACTATTTAAACTTCGTGGCACTGGTACTGGTCGAACATATCCTGAATGATCACTAAAATAAAACATTACATTAATGCAGTGATGTTAAACCAGCTACTAAGATACAAAAAGAAATGTCATAGCACTTTTAATAAGTATTAATTAAATGATCCCTAAGCCAGATAATATCTTGTTCGAAGATAAAAGAATCAGAGCCAGAAATCAAGACATCATCTAGTCCAGTGTTTCTCAAAGTTTATTCATGGGAAAGCTGCATTAGCATCACCTGGATACTCTTAAGATATGCAATTCTTGGGCCTAGTAAATCAGAAAATCTCTTAGCAAACATGACTAAATAAATATCTACACATACATATAAACGAGTTTCGAAGTGGTAAAGTTACATATGTACATACATATATAATACCCCAACAATCTTCCCATCAAAACTGTTGTATCACTTCAAAATTCATTAAAATATAGTGTGAAGAATAATGGGAACTGTAGCAAAGAGATTCTTATTTTTATGTAATTTTCATGTAGCATGAAAAATGAAGAGCTCCGAGTAAACCTCCTACTACATCACACGGAGAGGAGACAGCCCTGTGTTCTCAAAGTATAGGCAAGGTCTCTGGGGACATAGTTTGCCAGTATCAGAAATAAACAGAAATTATAAGTGAGGCTGTAACCACTATCACACTAAATGAAAAGGTCAAAAAGCAGATGTGGCATACCTGGAAAGAATTAGAGAAGATAAAGATATATTGAAATAACTTACAGATAAGAAACAAAAGAAAGAAAAAGAATGGAAAAAATCAAAGTGGGTCTAAAAGACATGAATGACTGAAGGAAAATATCTCACACAGTTTTAAGAGTAGTTCCAGAAAGGGAAGAGAGAATGGACAGCAGCTGCGAATATTCTTGAACAACTGAAAGATGAAGCTCTACAGATTCAAACCAAAGAAGCCCAAACAGGATACATAAAAAGATATCCACAGCGCAATGAATACTAACTAGAAAACAGGCTGCAATGTAATACAAGATAAAACAAGATAGTAGGCTTTGAAAGCACCAGTGTAAGATGGTGGAATACTATCTCCAAAGTGCACAGATAAAAATCTGTCAACCAAGATTTGTGAACTAGAGCTAAAAAAACAATTTACAGATAAAAACCAAGAGAATTTACCATTAAGAAATTTACTCTAAAGGAATGCTTCTACAAGCACAATTTGACATGGAAGGTTATCATAACATGGTAAATACAAAGTTAATTTTTAAAATGCTTTTTCTAAATGTGTTGTTACCAAAAAGGTGTGTATTAAGTTGTGAGATTTCTAAAAAGTCTGACTTGAAATATTACACAACAAAAGTATTATTTTGGCAAGATCTTCATTTCGCAAGAAAGTGGTCAGAGCTAAAGTATTCTAAATTCTCTAATGTGGGAGGGGGGGAGATACTTTGATTTTTGAAGTCTAAAATTAAATATGCATTTTAAAATTTAAAATACAACCAGGAAAATAAACATACAAATTTGAAAACATTAAAGAGAAAAAAGGTGGGACAAGACTGTAAAAAGAATCAACAAAAAGATGCAATGAATTTTTTAAAAAGACAGAAACCAAAACAAAAATAATGGGATAAAAATATCTTAATTGGTATAAAAAAGTCTGCATCCCATATATTCATACTCAAAATAACATAAAAACAACAATGACCAGGTAAGACACTATTAAACCAAATCTACAAAGCAAAGCGCAAAAAAAAACTACTGCTCCTTCCGAACATATAAAGGCATCATCATATGCAAGCCCATCTCTACACAACAAAGACACAAACCTTGTCCCCACAAAACATACATAAAATGCCTCCACACAAAAAAGCATGCATATACAAATACCCCCACAAAATATAAAAACATACCACCCCATACACCATACACGTACACTGCCCCTAACACAAAAACACACCCTGACATTATACAACATACACACACCAACAATAAAAAGAACATTTTAAACAGTCAGACAAAGTACACACAACATGTACTGAAAAACAAACAACAACTTGTTCATCATAAACTAAGGAAGCAAGTAGAAGATGGAGTGACATTTTTAATATACTGAAATTTTTAACATATTCAATCTAAAATTCCATGCTCAGCAAAAATACCTTTAAAGGTGAATGGGAGGGAGGGAGAAATACACATTTTATCACACATGAAAGTTGAAAAATTCATCAAGAACTTGAGATAAAACTGTTAAAAGACCTACAAGAATGAAAAGATACTAGACAGATTTAAAGGAATGAAGACCACCAGAAACACTAAATATGTGGGTAAATATAAATTGATTCGGGCAATCAAACAGAGACTTATATGTGCATGCTCATAGCAACATTAATCACAACAGATAAAAGTCAGAAACAAGCCAAGTATACATTAACCTACAAATGGAAAACAAAATGTGGTAGAGCCATATGCCACAGCCATAAAAAAGAATAAAGTTCTGATACATTCTACAATACAGATCAATCTTGAAAACATTATGCTAAGTGAAACAAACCAGATGCAAAATCACATATGTGTGATTCTTCATAAGTGAGAAACCTAGAATAGGCAAATTCATTGAGACAGAGAGTAGAATAGTGGTTACCAGGACCTGAAAGTACAGTTAGTATATAATGGGTACGGAGATTCAGTTTGTCAAGGATGAAAAATTCTGGTAATATATAATGGTAACATATATAAAACACTGTGAATAACCTGACTTGTGTAGCTCAGTGGATTGAGCGTGGGCCTGCAAACCAGAGTATCACGGTTCGATTCCCAGTCAGGGCACATGCCTGGGCTGCAGGCCAGTTCCCAGCAGGGGACACACAAGAGGAATCCATACATTGATATTTTCTCTCCTTCTCCCCTTCACTTCCCCTCTAAAGATAAATAAATAAAATCTTAAAAAAAACAAAAACAAAAAAACCCACTGTGAATAAAATTAACGCCACTGAGCTGGGACTTCTGGCCAAGATGGAGGCATAGGTGGAAACACTGTACCTCCTCGCACAACCAAGTTTAAAGACAACAAAGTTTTAGTAAAAAAAAAAACCCACAAAAAACACAACCAAAACACAGATAATTGAACTATATGCAAGTCCAACAACAACGAACCCTTCAGCCAGACCGGTAACAGGGGTGGGGCCAGCGGCTGGCGGACTGGGGTTGCGCAGGAAAACTCGGCCAGACTGACCCAGGCGTGCGGGAGGTGGTTGGCAGATCCCAGGTGTGGGGTTGCGATGGGCAGACCCAGAGAGGATGCAAAGTGGCTAGCTGACCGCGGTCACACATTTATGCGTAGATAAACCAGGCAAAGGAGTGAGCAGGGAGAAAGACTGCACCATTGCCCCTCTTTGACCCTGTCCCCACATACAGCATCTCAACCCAACAACTGAGTTGCCCCACTCTGGTGAACACCTAGGGCTTTGCCGCTCATAAGTAACAGGTGTGAATAGATCAAAACATTATAGCTCAAGAAGAACTCAAAGCCCCAGAGCCAGTAACTCTAAGTGACAAAAAAAATAGCCAACCTATCAGATGAACAGTTCAAAACACTGGTGATCAGGATGCTCACACAACTGGTTGATTACAGTCACAAATTAGAGGAACATATGAAGGCTAAACTAATTGAAATGAAGGGAAATGCACAGGAAACCAATAGTGATGGAAAGGAAACTGGGACTCAAATCAAAGAAGAGGACCAGAAGAAAGAAAAAAATGACCAAACAGAAAACAATGAAGAAACGAGAATTCAAAAAAATGAGGACAGGCTTAGGAACCTTCAGGACATCTTTAAACGTTCCAACATCCAAATTATAGGGGTACCAGAAGGGGAAGAGAAACAGTCACAAGTAGAAAACTTATTTGAACAAATAATAAAGGAGAACTTAGCCAATCTGGCAAAGGAAATAGACTTCCAGGAAATCCAGGAAGCTCAGAGAGTCCTAAAAAAGTTGGACCCAAGAAGGAACACACCAAGGCACATCATCATTACATTATCCAAGATTAAAATGAAGGAGAGAATCCTACAAGCAGCAAGAGAGAAGGGGACAGTCACCTACAAAGGAGTTCCCATCAGACTGTCAGCAGATTTCTCAAAAGAGACCTTACAGGCAAGAAGGGATTGGAAAGAAGCATTCCAGGTATTGAAATCCAAAGACCTACATCCAAGATTGCTCTATCCAGCAAAGCTTTAATTTGGAATGGAAGGACAGATAAAGTGCTTCTCAGATAAGATCAAATTCAAGGAGTTCATCATCACTAAGCCCTTATGATATGAAATGTTAAAGGGACTTATCTAAGAAAAAGAAGATAAAAAAGATGAACAGTGAAAGGACAGCAAACTCACAGTTATTAACAACCACACCTAAAACAAAAGCAAACTAAGAGGACAGCTAGATCAGGAGCAGAACCATAGAAATGAAGATCACATGGAGGGTTAGCAACAGGGGAGTAGGAGGAGAAGGGGGGAGAAGGTACAGAGAATAAGTAACATAGACGGTAGGTAGAAAATAGATAGGGGGGAGGGCAAGAATACTATGGGAAATATAGAATCTAAAGAACTTAAGACACGTGGACATAAAGTAAAGGCGGGGAATGGTGGGGGAGGGGTGTGGAGGGGAATGAAAGGGGAAAAATAGGAGAACTGTAATGGCATAATCAATAAAATATATTTTAAAAAATTAATGCCACTGAGTCATACAGCTTAATGTGGTCACAAAGGCAAATTTTACGTTATATATTTTTTACCACTTTTTTTCCAGGACTGTTAAAAAGACAGAGAGAACAGAAAAGTGGTTGGCTGACTGGGGCTGGAGAGTGTAGGAAATAGGAAGAGGTTGGTAAAAAGGTACACAATTTCAGCTGAAAGATCAATAAGGTCCGAGGATCAAATGTATATAACATAATGAGTATAGTCAATAACACTGTATTGTGTAACTGAAATCTAAGAGACAACTTAAATGTTCTCACTTAAAAATAATAATAGATGAGATGAGATGTGTTAATTAAAAGCAAAATAAATA